ATTAAGTTAAAAAAAATCTATTACAAAATATATATATATATATATATATATATATATATCCATTTCTCAGTGAATATAGACAATGAATACATTTAAACAAAACAGTGTTTAAGTTTATATTTGGTCACCAAACAAAAAGAAAGAAACTACATTTAAATTTAAATGACAATGCAAAATAAAAAATATAAAAAAATCACAAACTACAAAATTTCAAAAAGGTTTTATGTTTATTTTTCTCTTAGTAATATTTTCCCTAACATCTTAATTTGGGTGAACTATTTTAGGACTGAGTTGTTAAATCAGCTTTAGTTTTGGCTTTGGTACTGACTACTCTAATGTATATGGACAACTGTATAATTGCAAAGCATACTATAGAAAATATTAATTTAAAAGAAAGTCTTTAAAAGATATCTGTGTGGGGTCTACTCTGTTTATTTTTTGTACTTGGTGTATTTTTATTCATCATTGTAATATATATTTATCAATTCCCCAATTTTCAATGTATGCTAGTTGGATTTATTGTTTGGTATTGATCTGATTAGGGCTTTTAACCCAGAAATAAATAATGTCAAGAAAAGGAAAGAAAAAAAAATGACCATGCTTTATTTCTACTTTATATGAAACATTTATGTTAATACTGTAATACTGCTTACAGTGTATACACTATTTAGATCTATAACAGAACTACAGTTACCAAAACTAAGTAAAATAAAATACTTGTGGAAGAATTATTACTGATAAATCCCATTTATAATACAGTAGCAGACCTGAAGCAGAAAATAATATTTTAGTTACCACTAAATGACAAAAAGTGCAAGTGATTTTGTGATGGAAGATGGAAAGGGATGTTGAATAGAAATAAAAAACAATGTCATTTAGCATTGCTAACTCTACACTGTCTTTACCTAAGGATGCCAACATATCATGCAGATCCTCCTTATCAATGAAGCCATCGCGGTTCTGGTCGATCATGTTGAAAGCTTCCTTGAACTCCTGGATCTGCGACTGGTCGAACATGGCAAACACGTTTGACGTGGCCCGCTGGGGGCGCTTTTTGGTGGTCTTTCCCTTAGCCCTTTTGCTAGACATTTTGACAATTCTGTGATATTAAAACTGAAATAAAAAGAGACATGATTGTTGTTAACACTGCGAAAAACGTTAGACACGATTAAGCGGTAACGTTATACAAAAAGAACGACGAAAACTCAATTAGAAAACATGTCACAGCCGTGGCTTTTACGTTATTTAAAACAACTTTCTTTTAATATAAACACACCACAGTGCCTGTGTTATGGGTTTGTTTGGCTAACTGAGTTAACATTAGCAAGTCAGCTAACTAGATGTCAACGGAGCACTTCAGTGCTTTAAAGCTTGTCATGGTTATTGAGATAATAACGTTGCAAAATTTCAGTGCGGTCGTCCACATTGAAACACGGTGGCTTTGTAAAAACACTAATGAACAAGAATGATTAAGAAGAAGCAGAACACAATTACTACTAAGCTAGCAAGCAACAGAGATGATTGTTGTCATCAGTAACGTTAACGTTAGTCTGCCTTGTGTACAAATAAATGCTGACGTTATATCTATAATAACAAATACAACACATAAAACATTTCTAACTAAACTTAGAATACGGACGCTGTAAATATAGAAAAGTGCACATACCTACTGCTGTATAAAAAAGGGCAGGAAACCCAAACAATGTTTGCCACGCTGGTCACTGAAGCCCACCACGGACGGCACCCCTCTGTTGATTAGTGGAATGGGAAAGTCCCTCCGGGCTGTCTTGACATCACGGACTGGAATAGCCCATAAATAATTCTGCAGGGGTGGTTTCAAATGATCATACAGGGCAGATGCCAAAACGACTTTTAAAAGGAGTAGGGGATTGTAACAGTAACGAGTTCGGTTTTATTGTTATGATTTCTATATATTACCTATCGGTTGGGTTTGGTTAAATAAGGTTAGTTAGGACACAAACACATGGGCCATTTTACAGATTTTAAATAAAACTACAATTGATATATATATATAGCAATAGTAGTAATATATACAGATGTTCTCATTTATATTGCCTATTAATATGTCTATGATTTATACAACAGCTAGTGGTCATTTCTGCTTAATCATAATTTTCTCCATAGTTTCTGCCTTTTACCTCGAGGAATTACTCAATTATTTATACAATATTAGTGATATAGAAGTTGAAAATTTTAATTGGTGAATGTGACAGATCAGGTTCGACCACTGTTCCAGTATCTGCACACATAGTCTCAGACACCGTGCACTCAACGGGATGTTATTGTGAGGTAAGTTTAAGGGCTGGGATGAGTGTGTGTGCATAAACATATAAGATCTAATGGGTTATGGTCCTTGCAACAAAAATTATTTCCTCGCCAATAAGGTCAAAGAAATATATTTTAAATTATTTTAAATTATTAAACACTTTATTTAAAAAAGTTAAATTCTAAAATTGATGTAAAATGTTCATTTTGTCAATTTCATTCTATGTTTAATAAATGTTTTACATTTATTTTGAAATTATAATTATGTTGTACAAATTTGGAAACATATTGGATCATTTATTAATGATAATATACAACAAAATGTTTCTGTTACTTTTAAAGATATTATTTTTGGTTATAATGAATATGCCTCTACTAAAAGAAATGCTTATTTTTTTTTTTACAAATTTAATTTATCCACATATCCACAAATACAAATTTACAAATACCAAACCATCATTTCTTTTTCTTTTTTTGCAAGAATTTAGTCACTATTAAATGTATTCATTATCTGAAAATAGGAAAGCAAACTGAACAATTTCATTTTGTAATGACTTTATTTTACACACTGTTATTGATTCTTAAACGCCTTACCCTGTAGTTTATTTCATTCATTTTCTTTTTGGCTTAGTCTCTTTATTAATCCGGGGTCACCACAGCAGAATGAACCGCCAACTTATCCAGCACGTTTTTACTCAGCGGATGCCCTTCCAGCCGCAACCCATCTCTGGGAAACATCCACACATTCATACACAGACTCATACACTACGGACAATTTAGCCTACCCAATTCACCTGTAGCGCATGTCTTTGGAATGTGGGGGAAACCAGAGCACACGGAGGAAACCCACACGAACACAGGAAGAACATGCAAAATCCACACAGAAATGCCAACCGAGCCGAGGCTCGAACCAGCGACCTTCTCGATGTGAGGCGGCAGCACTACCTACTTCGCCACTGCAAGTTTATTTCATGTTGGAAAATTCTTATTCTTATTCTTTCTTTTTTCTTTCTTTCTTTCTTTCTTTCTCTCTTGTATCATTTTTCTTTGTCTTGTCAATGTAATTAACATTCTGTATTGTATAAAAATACTGATACAAAGCTTTTCACAGTGACAGTAAAAGTGATTTGATTTAATGTCAACTGTTTTTTTTTTTTGCAAATAAAAAAATGTCTATGGGTGTGTGCAGCTCAGATTGCATATGCACCCAAGTGCAGCTAGGATTTTGCACATGCACTCAAATTTCATTTAACATTGAATCTCTTAATTGAAGCTTAATAAAACTAAAAAATAAGAAGTTTCCTAAAACTTATGACAATGATTGAGGCTTTGATCTTTTTTTCTTCTTTCTCTATTTCCTAACTTTTGTTATTGTGTTTTTTTCTTCAATACAGTGATGTTATTCTTCTTTGTATTTAATAAAATAAAATAAAATAAATAAATACAAAAAAAAAAAAAAAAGGTTGCATTTGCACCCAGACCCGGTCTGCAGGGTCAACCCGTTTACAAATACAGCAAATACAGGCAACAAACAAAAATTCCAAAGATAAATGAAAATCAAATATTAATTATTAAAAAAAAACACAAAACAAAAACAAATTGACGACATTCACAAGACACCAAAATCAGATTCATAATAGCTTACAATAACTTTTGCATTTTTTACAGCTTTGAGAGACTTCATTGACATAAGTTTGTTGACAAAAACCTTGTATAAAGTGATTTTAGAAAGTTTACATTTGTGGATAAAGAATTTACCATTTAAAATAATAAAATTAACAATATTGCTAATTTCTAATTATTCATTTATTTTCTTTTTAGCTTAGTCCCTTTATTTATCAGGGGTCACCACAGCGGAATGAACCGCCAATTTATACAGCATACTCGCTTTACGCAGCAAATGCCTTTCTAGCCGCAACCCAACACGTGGAACACACACACTCATTCACACACTACGGTAAATTTTAGCATACTCAATTCACCTGTACCACAGGTCGTAGGACTTTTGGGGGAAACCGGAGCACCCGGAGGAAACCCACGCGAACATGCAAACTCTACAAAAAATGCCAACTGACCCAGCCGGTGCTCGAACCAGCGACTTTTTGATGTGAGGCGAACGTACTTACTTTGCCACTGCGTCGCTTATTTTTTTAATCACAATTTTCAAAAAGAATTGCATTCAATGTTGTAAGCATATTATTTTTAGCAGGATCAACCCATTTCTCGCATAAGAACATTTTCTATGACGTTGAAGGGCGTGGTCTCAAAATTAAAAGGTGACTTGACTTGAACTTTGAACCAACTACACATAAGGCCAGCAGGGGTCACCCATGCCTCATTAAATAAACAACAAACAGTTAATCAGATAAAATGAATATGGACTACACAGGACAGTACACAGTGGTGAGGGTGTCATCTACCCACTCAATTATTGTGGCTTCAAAAGCGCCTCAGCCAATCAGAATCGAGAAAGGAATTTATTTAACCAATCTTAAGTGACCTTGATGACTTGAGGCACAAGATCTTCAACTGTCTTGCAAGTGTGATTTTCCTTTATTAAAGTTACTGTTACGTTGATTTTGAGTCCTAATTGTGTTTATAAATTGAATTATGAGCGTTACACTTTGAAAGTGTTCACGAGTGTCTGCTTCTAGTCAGGTCTATATTTAACAGAGCCAGTGGCCATACAAGGTCGTGCCTGCTGCAATCTGCAGAGTGGCAGCATTATTTTTGTTCAGTGGAGTCCCGTCCTGTCGGCTGCCCCATACCCGCCGCTGTGCCTGGATTTTCACTGACTTTTTTTTTGGAGTTTGTCCTTTCTTCTTTAACAAAAATAACAACTTTGACTTGGTGAGTAACTTTGTGTTTCTCCTAGTGGCTAGCCCTGGCCCAAATAAAGAAAGTAATGCGATAGTGTTGTGTAAAGTTGTGAACTCGCTTTCCTCAAAACAGACTAGACAATTTTCTGTCATATATTAACTTGTGAATACTATTGAAGACTGTTTTAATTTGCAGCTGTTGTGATAGTCATGTTAAAAATCCTTTAAAAGTATAATTAATGTCTTTAAAATCTGAACAAGAATTTGTGTTATTATTCTAAATGAATAAACATAGATACATTGTAATATGTCAGTTGTGTTGTGTTAAAAATGTCAAAAAGCCAAATAGTTGAACTTGCACTACACTAAGAAAAAAGTGCATTTTGATCATTATTATTATTATTATTTTTTTTTTAAATTTATTTAAAAAATCTTTATAAGAATGTAACAGCTTGTCATTGGGACATGATTTTTAAAGGTACATATTTAAAAAAAAAAACTTATTACACCAAAACGGTTAAGTAAGTTAACCGTACAGAAGCTTGTCCCCTTTAGGGCATTGCATCAGTGACAAGTAATCAACACACCAGTTGAATGTACATTCACAAACCAAATTATAAGTGTTTAAAGTTTGGCATTGTTTATTTATGTGTGCATTTGATTTAACATTCATTGGGAATTGTACTTGAGACTGCTAGTGGACAAAGAAAAAGGGTCCTTGGGACGATCTTAAAAGCACCTCAGGATGTCAGAATCCTTAAAACTACAAAAGGAACAGGAGGAACGGGACCTTGAGACGCGCTATGAGAGCAGCTATCACCAAAGCTCCCTGTCATCTGTTAGCCGCCAGTCATACACTGCTTATGTGAGCAGCCATGGGTAAGAGGACATAAGGGACAATGTCTCAGTGCTAATGCTGCCCTGAAGAATGGCCCCTGTAGAGCAACCCCCTCACAAACAATGCTTTTTAGAAACCAGTGCTATTATAACACATTACATGCTGCTCATCTAAAATAATGTGTGCTTCATACACCATAACCCTTCCATTATAACCAGGATAGATGCTTTTAAACAGTCTGTGCTGTTTTTGTATTGGGTATTGCTATAGTTTCAAAGCACAAAGTACGCTATGCATTTTCTTTTATCATCTGTTATTTTTTTTTTCACTTTTCAATGACCATAAACAATATTAGAGCTTAATGATTGCAATAATAAACGATAAGCTACTAAAATCAAATCATCTACATAAAACTTTGTGTTCCTGTGGCATACGCAAATACATGTTGTTGTTTTTTTTTCACTTGTAGAGTATGCAGATGTTAAGTGACAACTCTGTATTCCAAAATCTGTGCTATTTTCTCATGTCACAGCTTGCAGGAGCAAGGTGAGATGAGATGAGGATCTAACTGCAGCAGTAGCACTTTATATGCAAAACCGAATAACTCAGGTGCTAGAAAAAAATTAGCAAAGGCTTAACTATAATACAGAAAACAAGAATCTGTGAGCATATGATACAAAGAAAACCCAAACACAGACAACAGTCAGCAAGTAGCTGAACTAAACAAGGAGGAATAAATACTGCACGAGTGAGTTTACAAGAAACAGATTGGCACAATAGCAAACAGGCATACTAGGAAACTGGGTCAGCTAAGGGCATGTTTACATGACAGCTTTTCGCTTTTTCTCAAAGTACACATTTTTGAAAACATGGCTGTTATCATCTCTGCAATCCACAAAAAACTGCAATTTAGTGGTAATAGTGACTCCATCCCATGTGAGTTTTGACAACCAAAACAACAGTGGTGTGTTGCAGAACCATATTGGCACAGATATTGCACGGATGTTTCTTTACAAATTGGCATTGACAACTTTATGCACAATGTCAGTTATGCAAATCCTCAAAAATGTCTTTTCAAGTTGACAAGGAATGAACACGTAAACTGTGAGCACATATTGTTAATAACATAAACATTTTAAGCAATGTTTATATGTCAGGAGGTCATATATTAGCTTGGAAATGTGTTAAGTCAGTGTTTCTCAACCACGTTCCTGTAGGACCACCAACACTGCATATTTTGGGTGTCTCCTTTGTCTGTCACACCCATTACAGGTATTTCAGTCTCTGCTAATGAGCTGATGATCTGGATAGGTGTGTTTGGTTAAGGAGGCATGGAAAATGTGCAGAGCTGGTGGTCCTCTAGGAACGTGGTTGAGAAACACTGCATTAATTCAATGCCATTTTTTTAAAATAGTTAATTTTAACACAACTTCTGTTTACTAAATTCACTTCAAAATCACTTCTCCAGTCAGAGAAGTTGCAGTTGCCATGGAAGTGAATATTGCTTGCAAAGTGAGTCAGTGAGTGAGTGCCCACTCCTTTTACAGTATACATATTGTATACTTTACTGTATATCTGCACTGTATGTGCGTTTGTTCAGACTAGCATATGTGTTACTTGACTGACATACTGATACCTAAAGTGTTTAAAGTAAGATTAGTTGTTAATTAGTAAAAGATTGATGGACATTTTTACTGCTTGGCCCATCAGAAACTCTTCATTGTAGATTCCTATGAAAAGCCAACCAAGAGCATACATTTTATTCCAAGTCTACCGAGCAGGCCCGGATTGGCTAATCGGGAGGACCGGGAGAATTCCCGGTGGGCCGGTCCGTTTTTTGGCCGCGAGGGCCGGTGTCCCTAGCTCCAGAATCTGTTGCTCTCAGCAGTCACACTTTTTAAATGTATTTACTTACTTGACCACAGCCTTTTTATTCATTATTTTATTGCAACTCTTCTCTTTTTATCTATTTTAATGATGATAAAACTCAGTTGTGTCTCCTCACTGTCCACAGCTGTTGTGGTCCAGCGGTTAGCACGTTAGGATAAGACTCCGCGACGACAAAAAAAGACGTGATAGTGTAATTAGCAACTGAATTGGAAATGACCTTATTTTAATGTAGTCAGTCGTGAACTGAGGTGGGCCGGTCTGAGGCTTGAAACTCCAGGGCTGAAAAGGAGTCCCACTCCGGCCCTGCTACCGAGTGTGTGTTTGCTGTTGTGCTTGAAACCTGTGTATTTTAAAATCTCTCCTCATGCCTGTTTTTTTGAGCATTGAAATTTTTAAATATTTAGGTAAAAGAAATTGTGTTGTATATGTATGAATGTGCTGTTGAGGACTGCATGATGCCATGACCCAGTGGCAGGAAGAATCCGAGCCTCTGTGGGAATGAGCCAAAGTTATTAATGGTCTCAATGATTATTTATGGTCACTGAAAGTTGAAATCACACCACAGTAGTTGAGCTGAACTGTAACTGTACATGAGCTGTACAACATTTTGCTTGCTTGAGCTCCTTTAAAGGGTTTGTTCATGCAAAAACGAAAATTCTATCATTAGCCTACTCATGTAATTCCAGAACTTAATTTTCCTATGTGTTTCATAGAAGAAAATCATCTATATGGTTTTGGAATGACATTAGATTAAGTAATGATTTTTTGGGCTAAGTAACCATTTAAGGTGAGCATAAAAGAGCTGAAAATATGGCAGAGAACACTATTTGTGCTCTCAGAAGACTGATATTTTTATTTTGTTTACCAGTTTTGATATTTTATCAGTGATTCAGATCTTTTAGAAAAGCACATTTTTGTGTAATCAAACACACAAATATGGTTAATTTATATATATATATATATATATATATATATATATATATATATATATTTTTTTTTTTTTTTTTTTTTTTTTTTTTTAAGGGGATCTACTATGCAAAAATCACTTTTATACAGGGTTTAAACACAGTTGTGTGGCAAAAGTCTGTGAATATAACCAGCTTCTGATGGTAAAAATGTATAATTTTATCTTTCTATAATCACACCATTATGCTGACACATAGACTTTCAAAATCTAATAGCCTGAAGTCCCAGGGCTATTGTTTTTTCAGGGCTACCAAAATCTAGATAGCCCCCTAGTCATGGCGTAGATAGATTTTGGTAGCCTGACTGAAAAAACAATAGCCCCAGGACTTCAGGCTACCAGAATTTGTGAGCCCTCTCCCTCTTTTTAAAAAAGCATTTAAATTGAAAAGCAAGTCACCAAAATGGCACAATTAGGATCAAAGCCTAAAAGGGGCAGATTCATAAAGTTCTAAAACATTATTTATTTAGTAATGTGAGCTGAAACTTTGTATACACACTCTAGGAAAAATCAGAGACTTGTTTTACATCTTGTAAAAAGGAGCATAATAGGTCCACTTTAATAATATGTTTAACAGGACCTGTTTCTGACTTACAGTAATTTCCAATTGTTATGATTGTGTAAGCATTTTACAATAATTGACTATAATCTTGCTAGTTACCATTGTATTTCCATCATTGCATAGCTATTCAAAAGATCATTTTGCAAAGGAAATGACTCTCAGATGGTTTAGAAGCTGCTGTAATCCAAAAATATTTTGTAACAATGTAAGAGATAAAAGGATCAGTCTTTCGGATACCAGATAGAGCTCTACGATTTAGCTGTAAATCAGTTTAAGCCCATAAAGTTGTGTTAGGATCATATGCAGATTACATGGTTTATCTCCTGCTGACATGTCATATTAACTAATGTATGTTTCCAAGTGGTCATGCTCATTCCTTATCTGATAGTCAACAAAATGTGCATTAATAAAGAAAAATATACAAATAATATTGCTTTAATTGATTTGTGTTTATGTGGAGCATTGCATCAAGGGCACTGTGCTGTGTACAAACAAAATGAGTAAAACCACCAGTCATGCATACTGAATTAATTGCTTTTTTTCTAAAGTGCAGCTTATTTCAGGCCTTTTCATTTCTTTTTTAATAAATGCTTAATACAGTGAGTGTCTCTGCTAATATTTGCTTTCCACTAACATGCTGAGACTGACTTTCAAGTGACTTTATTCCATTAACCCTGCTAAATTATTGAACATTTTGTTCCAGTGAGCAAAATCAAATGCAACTGATGTGTTTTGACTGAATAATGGAATAAAGTATTTTCATCTGTATACACAAGCGTTGATGAGTTTTGTGATATAATTACTGGCTTTCCTGATGTTAACTGCTGTTAAGGCACAAGATCTCAGGGAAGAAGAAGGAGAAGAAACTGACTCCACTCTCCAAAAAAGAAAAGCGCTCATACCTGGCGGTGGACAAAGAAGACGAGGTCATTGGATACGTTGTGCCAGTCTTCAGAAGCAGGTGATTGCATTGGGGTACTTAGAATGACATGGGGTTTTATATCTGTGGTGAATGGTTTGTAAATGTTAAAGTAAATTATGCAATCTATGCTTGTCTTCTTAATGATTACTAAATTTATATGTAACTTTATTTATGTAATTTTCTTTTTTTTTGTGAAATAATGCTTTTATTTTCCCAGAGATGGGTTGCGGCTGGAAGGGTATCCGCAGCATGAAAACTTGCTGGATAAGTTTGCAGTTCATTCTGCTGTGGCGCCCCCGGATTAATAAAGGGACTAAGCTGAAAAGAAAATAAATGAATGAATAATGCTTTTATTTGTCTTAGATCCATTACACAAAATTAATGCATTCATCCATTCATTTTCTTTTTGGCTTAGTCCCTTTATTAAATCTTTATTTTACCACTGTATTGTTTATGCACCAGCTAACTGGGAACATTCTCAGAACTTTCCATAAATTTCCTTAAAAGATGTGTAAATGTTAGCACATAAGGTGGTTATTAAATTAAATAAAGTTTTAAAATTCATCATAAGTTGAATCAAAGCTTTTGGACAATGTTTGTAACTTTTATAGAAAATCTAAAAAATAAAAAAATTGTTTTCCAATAAAAATAAATTATTCTATAACTTGATACTTAAACATTAAGAAAATTATTTTGAATAATGCTATTAAAAACAATCTAAGAAAAAATAACCTCACGGTATAACTTGATGGAAACATTAAGGGAATGTCTTTAGAATTTAAAATTGTTAGCACACACAATTTGAGGCGCTTAGTTGCTGCCCATCACATGATAGAATACATTCTTATAAACTAAGTCATACACTATAAATGCTTTTAAAGGAACCTCTTGATATTGAAAATGAAGTCAACCTTTTACAAAATATATATATTTCTTGGCTGGCTTAAAAAGGTTCGGAGCATATGCTCAATTAAAAGCTCAATCCCAAACTAAGGAGGTCATGAACTCACTGGTCACTTCATACGGTACTCTTTTCTATACTCTTTTTGCCTTAATGCAGAACTGCTTTAAATCTTGTTGCATAGATTTAACAAGGTGCTAAGCACTCCTTATCGACATGAGAGCATAACAGAGTTGATGTAGGTTTGTTGACTACACATCCATGATGTGAATCTCCAATTTCATCATGTCTTAAAGGTACTATTGGAGTATTTTCTGGGGACTGTGGGGGCCATTTGAGTAAAGTACACTAAATGTAATGTTTACGATTATTTGATTTTGTGATATGGTGGATTATCCTGCTTAAAGTTCCCATCTTTTGATGTGGTCATAAAGGCAAGGTCAGCAACAATACTCAGCCTGGCTATGACATTTATACAAAGATCAGCTGGTGTCGAAGGGGCCTAAAGCAATTGAATGAGTGTGCTCAATAAAGTGGCAGGTGTGTGTTAAGGTTTTTAGATCAGACTGTGCTCATTAACCTAATCTTCTTGATTAGTCATTTGGCTACCCAAGACCTGATGGAGACTCAGGAGGAGGTAAAGGAAGAGGGTGTGGGGTATGTCGTCATGAGAAACCTGTTCGCCAGAGAGTCCGGCTTCAAGATGAGAACTGTGAAGAAGACCAGAGAGACCAGCATGAGAGAGTCTGCAGAACGCATGGCTCTGAGCCAAAAGGTTTGACCCAGAACATTTAACAAGTTGTTTGTTTGAAATGTTGTTTGAAAAAAGTTACCTAAGATGTGTTACTTAACTTTCAATTGATATTCTGAACTGCAACAACAGCAGAGTATGATAATCCAACCAATAACAATCTAATTTATTTTTTTACACCAGCTGCATGAGAAAGAGCAATTCCAAAAGAAGATGAATCCAGACAGTTTGACTCACCCTCCAGAGTTTATCGTTAAACCACGTGGTCAGACCGTGTGGGAGGGGAAGAGTGTGACGCTGCACTGCACTGTTGCAGGATGGCCCAAACCCCGCGTGGCCTGGTCAGAAACAATTCAGTTCAACCGTTAAACGTATAATCATTAGTCACTGATTCAATCAGTGTTTCATTTAACTCTGTTCTGTTTGCCTCTATCTAATTTTGCTTTGCAGGTACAAAAACAATGTTCTAATCGATGCCAAGGCTCGCCCTGAGAAATACTTCACAGAGAGCCAATACAACATGCACTCTTTGGAAATAAAAAAGTAAAGAAAGTTTTTATTCAGTTAAAAAGTGTGTGAAATGTGTGGGATGGTGTCATTTATTGGTATTATAGAAGACTTGCAAAAGATAAACAATTCTATGTTTTCTATGTTTTGTGACTATTAATTCAAAACTTTTATTTGGGTTGCAGTTGTACTTTTAGTGACACTGCTGAGTACCGAATCTCTGCACTCAATGTGAAGGGAGAAAGTTCTGCTTTTGCTCCTGTCATTATTAAAAGTGAGTATTTATTTATTTGTATTTCAAATCATAAAAATGTATAATAACTTTTTAATAACATCTCTAAATAATAAAAAGTGAATCAGGACATTTAATCATCAGCAAATTTGGTCATCGTCTTTTGTTGACCTGAATTATTTTAAAAATAATTTAATTATTTACAGTCATAAATATTAAAGAACATAATTAAGAGCAGCTAAAAGCTTTTTCCACCAAATGCAGGAACTGTGCTTATCTATATTAATGTGTAACTTATCAGGATTAAAAATAAATAAGGGCTTGTTATAAATTACCAAGAAAAAAACTAAATAAACAATAATTCAAGAGACTTCAAGAAACAAAAAAACAATTTAAACAAAATTTAATGGAAGCGGATGAAAAGAAGTGTCGATTTGTAATTTTAATTTATTTTTTGTTTGTTTTGAAATACTGAGAACTATATTGCAGTGGCTAATCAGATACATTTAGTTAAGTCTATGCAGAGAACTAAGAAATATGTTTGAGTCTGCATGTGTTCGCAAAAAAATGATCTCACAAATCCTTGCATCATAATCAACTAAGTTTAGATGCGGTGCAGATTAGTCTCTGTACACAAGCCATTCTAGAATTAAAATCTTTGAATAAAGACTAGATTTTATATGCTGATTTCCCAAACACAAACATTTTAAAAAGAATTCCATTAATAACAATAATGTTACAACGAAGAATATTAAAAAATTACAATATCGCATTCATAGTCTATATTTTTATTTAAATAAATATATTTTAATAGCAATTAAAATGCAAATGTTTAACAAAAACGACAACACAGATATTTTTAAAAAGCCCCTATTATGCAATTAAAAAGGTCATATTTTGGTTTTGGGTGTCTCCAACAACAGGCTGAAACGCATGCAAGATCAAAAAACACTTTCATTGTCTTATAATATGCATTTATTTTTACCTAATTATCCCATTGACTCCCATAGGATTTGTTCAGTGATTCATTTGTTCTCAAACCCCTCCTTAGTGCAATGCCAATCTGCGCTGATTTGTCCAGTGACCCAGTCTGTTGCGATTGGTTAACTGCGTTCAGTGCGAGAAATGCCCACCTCGGCTTATTAACATTGTTAAAGTAGCCAGAGTGCAGAGTATATACAGAGTATATGAGCCCAATGCAGGAGTACATTAAAGCAATGCAGTTCAACAACAGCATATTGCTCTATTCTTAATCACAAGTAGAAATAATGACACTCATTCAGTAAAAGCTGAACTATTTTGAAACCTGACCACCGCACATGTGTAGGAACAGCTGATGGTAGCCATGGCAATGACAAACGACAGTGGATCGCAAGCTCACAAACACATTTAAATCCGTAAAGAAAGCAGCATCGCATTTTCAACGTGGGTTTAGACGTGATATGAGAATATAAAGAGTTAAGCAGATACAGTATAAGCCTCGTGGGGCGATTAAAAGTAACAAAACGCAGTTAAATAAATAATTTGCATGTCAGAGAAAACAAGGAGGCAAGTGTTTTAAGGGAAAGACTTGTTCACGTTTTACCGGATCCGACACTTCTTATTTGGTATTGTTTTGTGTAGACGTATGAATCATTTAAACGACTCTGAGTGGACTCTTTTATTAAAAAATATATATTTTTAAACAAGGTGCATTTTCAGATTCAAACATCAGCTGGATGTTCTCATTCACTTAGAGCTGTGTTGCACACTGTATGGAAGAGAGTTAAAAAAACATTATAGAAGCACTTTAATTATAAAGGTAATTATAATTACCTTAATGAAGGTAAAACATGCTCTGGAAATCAGTTCCAATGCAGTATGTCCCTTAATAGAAAAGTTAATTTCTGACCCTGTAACTCACTCGGGTCTGGTATTCAGCTGCTGTCCTCTTGACATGCTATTTTAAGGCCATTACAGCTCCTCAGTTTGCTCTTGTTATTCTAGAGCATCTTTCCACTACCTCTGCAGAGGCAAAAATCTAGACTGGATTTTTTTCATGTACAAGGTCAAATACATTATTTATAAGGAAAGCAGATCAGTCTTTGAAGCTTTGAAGAAAACTATTTTGTTATGTACTTTCCATTACCAAAGAGCTAACATTTTAATTGCATTTATATTTTAAAGGATTCAAGGAAGAAGAGGAGTTGGTTGAAAGGCCCCGTACGTTTTTCCATACCACATACCTCTATGCTATAATTTCAATTGAACTTTATAAAGCCATATACATTTTTATGTGAATATAAATGTAATGTTTTAAAAGAGCTTTTATATTCATATTCTGCATAGATGGTTATAGCCCTGAATATGGTGTGACCTTCAACACTACCATCATTGACAAGTTTGATGTTTCCTTTGGCCGTGAGGGAGAAACCATGAGTTTGGGATGTACAGTCATTGTCTATCCCACAGTGAAGCGCTACCAGCCAGAGATTGTGTGGTACAGAAATGGTAAGTAAAGTAGCACTGCACAATATATCATCTCAGCATTGTTATCACAATGTGTGAACCCACAATAGTCACATTCCACTGATTACAGGATCTGCAATGTTGAGTCTGGATTATAGTTGATCAGCACAACAGAGTCACTGCAGAGTTATCCCTAACAGTTTTTCATTTGCATGTGTTTTTGAGGCCTGTGACTGTGAGGATTTTAAAAGCATTCAGGCATAGGAAATTGTACTGTTTGTAACTTTAATAATGATTAATTTCATAGAAGAATTCATAAAATGAAGACTATACATCATTATTTTACATTATATTATTCAATTACTGACCGTGAACACTGTTGAACTCCTCTTAAACGCAATAAAAAACGGTTTATTCCATTTGTATTTTGTGTTCTATTATATTGATGTAGCGTGTGCATTGTTCATTCTATGTTATGCAGATGCACAGCCTTACAGAATCATCCAAATCAATCTAAAATTATAAATTCTTTCCAAATAGAGATATTAGTTTTTGAGCAATGGCAAGATAAAGGAGTTTCCAGTGGTAAAGATTTTTATTAATAATATTTTTGCCTCCTTTTCACAACTCTCTTTTAATTCAACCTCCCTTCTTCTAATTTTTTTTAGGTATTTTCATGTCAGAAACTACTGTGTGTCCATTTAAATATTCCAAATTTTGATTATTTATCTTAAGAAGTTAATTTATTTGATTTATTTTAAACTCTCCAAATGCTAAGGGCCTAACCTCTTTATTTGTAAATGTTTTTTTAAAACAAAACAGATTTTTTTTTTCTTGATTTGAAAGTCGTACGGGAAGACCTACAGTAGAGATTTTAATCACAGACTGATTGGGATCAATGCTTTTTATCTGTTTATTTATGTTCTAGACACAACCTTATTCAGTACAGTACAAAGTATAACACAGACTTTACTATTCAAAAACAAAGCTTATGAAATTCTATCCCACGGTTTCCCCCACTTGCGGCAAGTGTAAAGCTTAGCACATCTTTTTTGATCCTATTTTCAGATTCAGATTTTTGGGTTAGAACTCTCTGGCCCAATGATAGCAATTTTTACAGAAAAATCATACTTAAGTAAAAATAAGATTACTTGCCCAAAAATGTAGTGCAAGTAGAGTAAAAGTATCTGTTGTAAATACTACTCAAAGTATGAGTAGACCTTTTAAAATTACTCAAGAGTAGTGAGTGTTATGCTGTAAAAAGCTGATGCATTTACATGTAAATTGTGGATGTAACACAATATATATCACAGAAATACAAAAAACACTATGATGGATTTTTCCAATATCATGCAGCCCTGAAGTAAAGTGTGCAAGCCATGCAAGCACCAGCTCCTAACCATTGTACAGTCTGTAATGCTTCATTTCTTTATCAGGTGTCGCCTTATCATCTTCTAAGTGGGTGCACATGCACTGGAGTGGTGAAAAAGCCACTTTGACCCTTGTCCATCTGAACAAAGAAGATGAGGGTCTCTACACCCTGCGTGTTAACACCAAGTCTGGCTTTGACACCCACTCTGCCTATGTGTTTGTCAGAGGTGAGTCCTGCCTATATACGTTTGTGCTGTGTAATCTGAAACTGTGTCATCTCACACTGAAGGGCAACATCGTATTGTCAGTCAAGCTGTGTGCACTGTATCTTTAAGAGGCGAGTTGCCACAGGTTTTAGGTTTCTCTGTGGGAATGTTGCTTCTATCTTTGGCCGACAGCACTAAAGGCAGCCATATGCCTTTAGTGTTATACTAATGGCCAAGTGTTTGGGGCCGGTAGTCTTCTTTTTAAATTGATTAATGATTATTTGATACATAGAGTTCATATTAACCAGTTAACATTATTAATAAGTACCCATTAAAAATTAAGATCATGGACCAATTGTTAACATGAAGCCAATATGTCTTTATATGTTATTAGCATGTGTAAAAATGTAATGAATTTTGTATGCATGCATTCAAATGAATACATTTTATTATAGGTAGAGTGGTTCAAATTTATTTTGGCTTGTTGATTAATTGAACAATTTTACTTCAAATACCATGGTTAGTGTTTTTATTAAATTGCTAGCATTTTTACTACAATGTTTTAACACATTGCTACCATAATTTAGCACACTGATTAACATGTTGCTAGAATGTTAATTTAGTTTGATTCTAGCATGTTTTAACAATATTCAAATATTTACTTACCTTTTTGTTTTAGCATGTTTGACATTATCACATTTAACATGTTTAAGACTTTTGCAAGGTGATTTAGCATGTAAGCACATTTGAACACTTCTAGCATGAAATAGTCTATATTGATATTTCATGCTGACAATCATTGGTGTTATTAGTGCTAGCATGTTTTTACAGTATTTAAATATTTATTTACCTTTTTTGTTTTAGCATGTTTGATATACTCCCTCTTTCTAGCATGTCTTTGTCTTGTTGCTAGCATGATTATTTAGCATGTAAGCCCATTTGAGCACTTCTAGCATGATAGCCTATATTGACAGCACGTTCACCACATTGCTGACAAGCATTGCTGTTATTAGTGCTATGCTAGCATGTTTTAACAGTATTCAAATATTTATTTACCTTTTTGTTTTAGCATGTTTGACATTATCACATTTCTAGCATGCCTTCCTGTTATTGCTAGCTTGATTTTTTTAGCATTTGAGCACATTTGAACACTTCCAACATGAAATAGTCTATTGACAGCACAGTTGCCACAGTGTTGACAGTAATTGCTGTTATTAGTGCTAGCATGTTTTAACAGTATTCGTATATTTATTTTCCTTTTTGTATTAGCTTGTTTGACATTATTACACTTTTAGCATGTCTTAGACTTATTGCTAGCTTGATTTTTAGCATGTAAGCCCATTTAAACCATAGACTGTAAAGATTTAAACACTTCAAGCATGAAATAACCTGTATTGACAGCACGTTTACCACTTTGTTGAAAATCATTGCTGTCATTAGTGCTATGCTAGCATGTTTTTAATGTTTAACACATGGCTAGCATGAATAAGCAAGTTACATTTAAAAGACAGATTGCTACATCGAAAAATGTCTTATCGGTGATATATTATGATTTATACAACAGTTCTGTCTGGTTCTCGAGTCTGATTGGCTGATAGCTGTGATATATTTAAGTCATATCAGCACCCGTACAGCCTCTTTACCATTTGTGTATTACTCCGCCCACATACATCCAGCAAAAAGCATAGATATATACATTAGATGTCGCCTGGCCTATTGTTGTCTATTGGACGGAATGCGTCAATAGCGCAGTCATCTTGGTACAGGGTAGCGCTCCTTTGAAATGAATGCGGGACCAAGGTACAGTGGAGGACTGTGGCCATCCAAAGCCAGAGATATACACATATACACATATATCTATGTTGGGAGTTTTCCTGGATGTTAGTATGTAATTTTTTTTTTTTTTTCCTAATTACAAAAGTTATAATTTTACATCACTTTTCTACATTGATGGATCAGTGACCGCACGGGCATTCCTGACAAAAAGCTTGTGTTTGTGTGTACAAAAATGTACTATTCACCCTCCCTGTTCAATTTAATCTAATTATGTCCTGAAACACACCTGCTCTGCTGCTTTTACTTCTCATACTGACGGAGGGAGCGATTCGTTTGTGAATGAATCCCCCGAACGACTCTTTCACTTGTAGACAATAATACAAGTTTCTGGCAGCACAGCATCTCGTTGTCATATTTCTTTTGCATTGTTTGCTGATTTTATTCAACAAAACTAGCATAAGCCGAGTGTTTAGTGCGAGTTGGTGCTGCTTTGCCTTATGGTGAATGCAGTAAGTGACTGATTATCATCAATAACGTTACCTGATTAGCACACAAGTTCAGAACATACAAAAACAGAAAAAAAAACATAATATTACTTATGAAATGTTCTGCCTTTGTGCTTTGTTTTCTTTGTTTGCTCGTTACTACACCCGTAGACATCGCTTAAGTCCCGCATCTTCATGTAATAACACTGTCTTGACTAGTGCGGTTGAATGACATTTGTCCTGGGAGCACTGTACCAATGTGGCAGCACTATTGACGCATGCTCAGGGTCACTATGCGATATGTAGTGTATATATCTATGAGCAAAAAGCAGACACTACAGATCTAAAGTTTAAAAGATGCTTTTAACTGTTTTAACAGCTGTTTTACTGTCAGCTTATGATTTGAATCCAAGGTGGAAGAAAGTAGTTCCTCATACAAAAGGGTTTTTGAGACTCTTCATGTTTGATTTTGTTTTTATATACACAATTATGCCGTCAAACTGTTGTATAAACGCAATATTACACGAGTAGATGTGCGACAGGGATATGAATGAACGGCCATATCGCACTGCTACTCGTGTGATATTGCTCATATGGCATATGGCATTGAATTTTATTTATTCAACTTTTATATTAATGTGGAAATATATTCTATGAGTAAAAATCTCATTTATATTCACTTTTTGGGTTTTAGACCTTGTTGTTGGCTCATCAGTGCTTTGTTATGTTTTGTGGAAGTATCTATTATAATGAGGTGACTGAGATGCTATGAGAGAGTATAAGAGATAGCTGAAATTAGCTAGCTGTGTTCACAGTGCAGAGACGTTGTGTATCACTCAGCCATAATTAGATGTGACAGCAGGGCGCAAATAAAGCTGATTTGTGTATATCATTAGATGCTGATGTAGAGGAGGAAGGGGTTCCAGTCGCTCCTCTTGATGTGCGCTGTCATGACGCTAATAAAGACTATGTGGTTGTCACCTGGAAGCAGCCAGCAGTGGAGGGCAGCAGTGCCATCACGGGTTACTTCATTGACAGGTGAGTTACATAATATGCCATCAGCAGTGGGGATTATTAAGCCCAAGCCAGTGCTCTTCATTTAAATATTTATCTACAGGTTGGAGGTTGGCAATCATCACTGGACTCAGTGCAATGACACTCCAGTAAAATATGCCCGTTTTCCTGTCACTGGGCTTATTGAAGGACGCTCCTACATGTTTCGGGTGCGAGCTCTCAATAATGCTGGTGTGAGCCGTCCGTCTCGGGTCTCTGACCCTGTAGTCGCCATGGACCCATCAGACCGGGCCCGTCTTAGAGGTAGTGTGCCTTTTTGTGTGTGTATGTGAAGAATTAAGAGGAAAGTGTAGAAAATTCTGAAAACTGAAGAACAAAGATGGTAAGGTTTGCTTATGAGTGTCTGATTTTCACAGCTGGTCCCTCAGCTCCATGGACGGGAGTGATCAAATTCACTGAGGAAGATCCCACAGGTAAAGAATTATTTAATTTAATGATTAAATTCTTTAATTAATTTGTTAATCTTGTAATAATTTTTTTTGTTTATTTTTTACACTTTGGGCCAACAAGCTGTTTTATGTTCAGCCTGAAGCATTTATTTCATAAAAAACCTGAAAGGAAAAACATAAATTTTGTGTTAAATAAATAATAAATAAAAAAAAAAACTGCAGTTTTACCACCAATACAATGTATTACCATTGCTATTGTTTATTATTTTACTATTATATTTAATATTAAAAATATATATTTGTAATTTTAATATATTTTATGATGTAAATTATTCCACTGATCATCTAGCATCATTATTTTAGCCTTCACTGTAACACGATCCTTCATAAATCATTCTGGTATGTTGATTTAGTACTCAAGAAACATTTCTTATTATTAGCATTTATGAAAACAGTATTATAAAGGCTTAGTTTGATGGAAACTGGGCTTTTCATATTTAGGTAGAAATATTTAGTAAAGTTATGAAAGCCTTTGGTGTAACTTACTGTGCCTGTACTGTTGACTTTCAATTTAATTTTGTCCTTGCAGAATAAGAATTTCTTTAAAACAAATTAAATGAACATCACAATTACCCTGTTTTATTAACAGTAGCAAAAAAAACTGTATATTTAACAAGTGTTATATGTTGGCAAACACAATGTCAATTATAATAGGTGAAATGAGTATGCACAATATTAAAGCAATGCATTTCCTATACTAACCAATGCATAAGAACACTTTGGTCACACTTTGTTTAGATGGTCCGTTTGTTGAATTTGAGTTATACTGCATCTACACGCCTACTAATTCTAATTAGATTATAAGTAGACTTTTAGGTTGGGGTTAGGGTTAGTTAGTTAGTATAGGGTAAGATTCTTATTGTCAGTTAAATGTCTGTTGAAGTTTTAACAAATATTAAGCAGACCGTGTACTAATTCTCAAATAGAACATGAAAAAATAAAGTGTTACCAACACTTTTAATACAACCAGTATATTGTTCATTCCTAATGTGAGGGAGGTGTTATGACAACACACAGCAGGGTTAAATTATACTTAAAAGTTCCATGAAGTGCTTTGCAATATGCATTTTTTATTCATGTTTGATTCATTCTCAGCCAAAACATAAAGAGAGGGTGGAACATAGTGTAGCTCTTCCTCTGTTTAAAAAACTGCCAATGGTGCCAATGGTTTAGCTTTTATCACAGCGCTGCCAGTGAGAGTGGTTGAGCTTAAGTGCATCAAATGAAAAGTAAATGAGAAGCGTCTTGAAAGGGGCGGGGCATGTCAGATACTAGAGAGTATTTGATTGTGATTTGATGGGAAACTGTAGTTTGAGGTGACGTAAAACAAAATGTTGCTCCAATTAGGCGGAAGTGTCAAACTACAAGGTTTACATGTTTTTATCAGTTTTATACAGTATCTTCTAAACACGAATTCTGTCACTGTTTTGGAGCACACTAGCTTATAGATATCTTAAAAACTAACAATACTGATAATAACATCTAAAAAACTTTATTTTAATTTCATGGGGCCTTTACAGTTGTGTTTAAATTGATTCAAAATATGCAGCATTGTTTCTCTGCACACTTAGTTGGGGTCATCCCTGGTCCACCTACTGACCTGGCCGTCACTGAGGCTACAAAGAGTTACGTAGTCCTGAGCTGGAAGCCACCTGTTCAGAGAGGACACGAGGGTGTCATGTATTACGTGGAGAAGGTGAGGGAGAATGTAAAGTATTTTATTGTTTTTTTTTCTCTATAAATTAAATGCATTTGGAGACTAAAACAGTACATCTTTTGTCAGTGTTTGGTTGGTACAGATGCATGGCAAAGGGTAAACACCGGGATTCCAGTCAAGTCCCCTCGCTTTGCCCTGTTTGACCTCGCTGAGGACAAATCCTACACTTTCCGTGTACGCAGCTGTAACTCTGCTGGAGTTGGAGAGCCGTCAGAGGAAACTGGGGCGACTACTGTGGGAGACCGATTGGGTGAGTGTGAACACTAGACACACACAAAGAAGTAGGTTAGTGTCTTGGATTACAGGATGGAGAGTGTGTTACTTTTGTGCTTCAGAAAGGCCATACACTTTAAAAGATGCTGGGTTCCACTTAATCGATTTTAAGTTAACTTATTTGTTTTTACAATTTTAAGTGGATTGAACATACAACAATTAAGTTGTCCCAAAAATACTAAATTTGTGTTGTATTTGTGTTGTCGTGTTGTATTATAAATAAGTAGTTTGAACAAACAGCAAACATAATTTTTTTAGTGAATTACATATTTTCGGAAATCATTACAGATATAAAGTCAGGAATGGGATAGTGTGAGTTCAATGGGAGGTACAGTTAAAATGGTCAGTATTGTTTTATACAGTTTTTTTTATTTAATTTTTTATTTTTATAAAAACTGGTATAAGTATTTTGCAGGCACAGATCCCTTTATGAATAAAAGTTTAAAAGAATGGCATTTATGTAAAAAAATCATCCTTTGAAACACCATCATCTACTAAACTGATCAGTTAAGTACACTTGAAGACATTTTTTTTTAATCTGGGGGTTTTGATCTTTAGATTCCATGGATCTCCAAATAAGCTTGAGGGAATCCAGCCCTAAAATATAAAATATATCTACATGCAGTAGTTTCTTGTATAAAGAGCCAATTTATTCTTTGAAAAATACTTATACAAACAGGTTTAGAACACTGTTTGAAAAATATTTATTTTTTGTTTAATTTATTTTCAATTTGTTTTCTATTTATTTTCTATCACAGGGATCTGCATAGGTACTGGGAGTGAGTGGTTGTAAATGTATGGAGAAAATTATACTATAAAAAGTATAATCTAATTAATTAAATAAAAACATGATTGAATAACTGAGATTGAGAACTGCCCATCTGCACAAAAAAACATTAATTGATTTAAATTAGTTTAAAGTAATTGAATAATTATAAAATAATATTAAGATTCAAGTAAACAAATCATCCAAAATTTGATTTAAATAAATAAATAAAAATTGTAAAAACAAACATACATATAAATACAAATTGAAGCGAATAATGTATTCAACAAATATATAAATTAATTAGGAAATAAATTCAAGTCGAAATCTGAACGCAAAAATATTTCTTAAAATAATATTTTTATCTTTATTTCTGATAATACATTTTAAAAAAAGAAGCAGTGAAAGCATGAACTGTTTAAATGTCAAGCCTTCAATGCCAAGCTTATAATGTCAAGCCTTCAGTGTCACTTTGGATACGAGCATCAGCATAAATGTAAAATCTGATTAGATAAAAATGACTTGCCTGAAAATTGACAATTTCTCTTTTGTTTTCAGACCTGCCTTCTGCCCCAGGCCCGGTCATTCCCATCCGAAACACTGACTCTTCTGTGGTGGTGTGCTGGGGAGCATCTAAAGAGGTGAAGGATCTGGTGGGTTACTATATTGAGGTCACTGTGGATGGCAGTGGTGTGTGGGCTCCCTGCAACAATAAGCCAGTCAAAGGCACGAGGTATGCCAAATGTGAAATTTTAATAAAACAAGAGAGGGTTTTCTAAGAGTTATAATAACACTTTATATATATATATACAGTATGTACAAGCTTTTGTGTACTGTAAATAATGTATCAATCCTGTCTTATCTGCAGGTTTGTGTGCCATGGGCTGAATGCCACTGATAAATGCACCTTTCGGGTGAAGGCAGTGAATGCTGCAGGATACAGTGGAAGCAGTGCCGAATCTGAGGCTTGCCTTGTTAAAGCGAGTATTGGTGAGTATTTTTGTCTACATCAAGGAATATGAAGACTTGAAGACTATAAAATTGCATGGTTTATTAAATGGCATGCATTTTACTGTGTAATGTTACACATTATCTTGTTTTACTGTTGATTATTAGCCATCCTGTAAATTGTGAGGCATGTTTAACAGAGCAAGGGCATTTTTACAATATATGCTATTATATAGCATATATTTTTTATTTCCTTTAGTTTGGTTGACTTAAAAACTGACTTAATTTAAAAAAATTAAGTTAATATTATTAGCGTCCTTAATGTTATTTGGCTACAGAACAAGTCACTGTTGTTCAGTGACTTGCCTAATTAGCCTAGTTAGGCCTTTAAACTGCACTTTAAGCTGAATACTAGTATCTTGTAAAATATTATGTACTCTCATTATGGCAAAAACAAAGGAAATTAGTTATTAGAAATTGGTTATTATAATATTTTTAATGTTTGATGTTTTTTCTCTCTGTAAAACATGGTTTGGGATAGTAGGCCTAAAAATGTATTTAACTGTATGTGTATCTAAATCTGAGAGGCACAATGAGTTCTCTATACTTCAGCTTTGGTGTAAATTGGACTGCAAATATATAATTATACATATTTTTAATGCATTTAGGTTGGACACTTACTTGCCAGTTTCAATATTATTATCTGTACAATGAAACTCTACTTTGGTGTAATGGATGACAGTGTGCTGTAGCAGAATTTGTTGTACTTCAACTGCCTATTACAGGCTATCAACTGGTCACTGACATCAAACAGTGAGCTTGACCAGTAAATTTATTTTAAAGCTTTATTAGGGTTAGCACTTTCTCCTTACATCAAAAAGGTCACTTGTTTGAGTTCTGGCTGAGCCAGTTGCCATTTTTGTTTGGAGTTTGCATGTTCTCCCCATGTTCACATGGTTTCCTCCGGGTGCTCTGGTTTCCCCCACAGTTCAAAGACATGCACTATAGGTGAATTCCATTAACTAAATTGATCGTAGTTTATAAGTGTGTGTGTGTGTGTGTGAATGTGAGTGTGTATGGGTGTTTCCCAGTACTGGGTTGTAGCTGGAAGGGCATCCGCTTAGTAAAACAAATGCCGGAATAGTTGGTGATTCATTCCACTTTTTGCAACTCTTAATAAATAAGGCGACTAAGCCCAAGGAAAATGAATGTATGAATGAATCTACTTCATAAGTCTGACAATAAATGTGTTTTTAGCACTTCACTGAATGACTTCTTTTATTAACTTGGGTTATTGCATTGTAAAAATAGCAATAAGCTTTATTTATTTTTTATATTTATTTATTGCAGCACCACACATCATTTTCAGGGTGCATATTTTGATGATTCACACACTGCTGACTAAGATTTTTCAAATATTGGATTATAAAATGACTTCTTGATCCTGTTATACTGAACAACCTTTAACAGTTCATGTTCGGACAACAGCCGAATGGTAATTTATAAATAACTAATTACATGCATGCATACTTATCATACTTACTTATTAACCACTGGACTGTTGTCCTAAATATGAACTGTTATAGGTTGTTCAGTATAACAGGATCAAGAAGTCATTTTATAATCCAATATTTAAAAAAAAAATCATCATTAATAGTGTGTGAAATCATCAAAATGCAACCTGAAGATGGTGTGTGGGGCTGCAATAAATAAATAAAGCTTATAGCTTTTAAATAATTGATCATTTCACAGTGCACTAACCCAAGAAAAAACAAGTCATTCAGTGAAGTGCCAAAAACATTTTGATTGTCAGACTTTAAAGTACATCTTGTGAATAACTGTGATAAACTTTACTGGTCAAGCTCACTGTTTTATGTCAGTGATATGTTGATGGCTTGTGATATAGAATAAGTTGAAGTAAAAGTTTAATCACTAAAGTTCATTCATTCATTCATTTTCTTGTCGGCTTAGTCCCTTTATTAATCCGGGGTCGCCACAGCGGAATGAACCGCCAACTTATCCAGCAAGTTTTTTACGCAGCGGATGCCCTTCCATCCGCAACCCATCTCTGGGAAACATCCACACACACACTACGGACAATTTAGCCTACCCAATTCACCTGAACCGCATGTCTTTGGACTGTGGGGGAAACCGGAGCACCCAAAAGCAGGGAGCACATGCATACTCTACACAGAAATGCCAACTGAGCCGAGATTCGACCCAGCGACCTTCTTGCTGTGAGGCGACAGCACAACCTACTGCGCCACTGCCTCGCCCACTGAAGTGCATCTTTTTGTTATTCAGCAGAACACATATAATACCACATTGTCATCCATTACACTGAAGCACAGTTTCATACATAAATACATTGACATCTTGAAAATAACACCACTCACACTAATTTGAAAGTACTTCGCAAAAGGTATGCATTAAGATTATTCTAAAATCCATACCTAATAAATCCAGAGGATCTGAGAATTCTCATGTTGTCTCCATTATTTTGACATTTGTTTTGTTATTTGAAGACTAAGCATATTTAAATTTTTCTACCGAACATAAAATCACTTTAGTAAATATGCATTGGGTTATTTTAAAAACTTTTTGACCCGTTTGTAATAAATTAATTAATTTATTCATCTTAATTCATTTATTTATCATATAAGAAAAAAAGTCAAACAATGAAATTTAAAGAGACTTTCCATGTGTTTTATAATTCAATATGCATTCAGAATGTATATTTCATTTCACCTCTAGTGTAAGATGCACTTAAAAAGAAACATTTCACATCCGTGATTCATTCCTTCTCATATATGTGCCAGCACTAAGCTCCATATTATCCTTGACCAGTACAAAAGCATCCTCCACATTCACTTCATAACAGCCTCTCACTTAGTCTTCAGTCTCATCCTGAAGTCATCCTTACTTATAATAGCAGTGCTACTGCTTTGCATACCAGCAAGCTAAAACCGCAAACCTGCATGCTGCATGAACATCCTATTAAATGCATGCCCTGCCCTGCTATCAGCACTCCATTAATTCCCTCAGAAACACAGTCATTACCTGAGTGTCTCCTGTGTGACACAAACATCCAGGCACAAATATGAAAGAGACAATAGGGGTATCTCATTATTCATTCCCAGAATGCAAAACACAAGCAGACTGAAAATCAGATGGCGTGCCTCTGTGTGTTGTCATGCAGGTGTGTGTGTGTCTGTTTTGTGAATAACTGCAGGGTGTGTGATGCAAAGCCGTGCATGAGCAGGGTGGGTGGTAAAGCGAGTTGAGTGAAGGTCATCCTCCATCCTGACCAGACAAGTAAGTGTAGTTTAGACTGCGAGACATCTGTGTGCATCATTATGTATAATCTACAGGTGGGTGAAATCTTCATCATTATTCTCCCTGAATAAACTCTAAAGGAAATTATTATATAGAATTGATCATTTTATATGCTATTTATAATATTTAAAGGTATTGTACATTACAAATGATTATTGTTTTATATTATGAACTCAGTCTAACAGAAACTATATGAAATTATGTTCTTCTATGGAACTTAAAAAGGAAGATATTTTGCATAACGTCAATAAGCTGATTTTTTTTCTCCATTTAGATAAAACAATGATGGAGCTTTCATTTTTAAGGTCATTTGTTATTAGTGTATCATGAAAATGATTAAAATTTTACTGTTGCATTAATAAAAATGGGCACTTAGTAATTCACTGTAATTATTTTTATAAAGCATTAATATCATGAAAATGAGATTTCATTAGGTTAGTTATCTTACTTTTATTAAGATATGATTTTCAATTAAGAATACTGAGAAAGGGCTTAATTTAAAAAGTGCTGTAATAATGTTGCTTTTATTACTGCAAATTCTATTCAAGACAGGGATAGGATATAAAACATGATCTGTATTATAAACAACAGTTGCATGGTTTCTGACTCATTAACAGATTTTGGGATCATCATAAAAATCTTTTTTTTTTTTCTGTACAGCATGAAAAAAAGTTATTTGGACTGCATTTATCAAAGACAATACACTCAAGAAAGTGTGTATACTGTAAACTAAACATGCTTTTGTATTAAAAAATCACACAACACCCAAACTTCATACACAACTGATCTTGATATTAAAACGCACACAATGGATCCTGTGTCTCATCATGATCAGAATACAATGTTGAAGTAATGGAGTGTTGGTGTAACAGATCAACAGCCAAAGGGTAAATGTGCCGTTGCTATCTAAACCCGTTCTTATCCTTCTACAGCTGTCCCAAGTCCTCCCACTGGTGTGACCACGCTGGAAAGGCTTCGGGATTACATGGTGATTGGTTGGCAAGCTCCTGCTAAAACCGGTGGAGCAGATATCAGAGGTTACTATCTGGACTACAGAACGGTGAAAGATGGAGTCACAAGCAAGTGGCATGAACTGAACCTGAAAGCAGTCACTAGCTCACCTTACAAGGTACTTGTAGGTGATGATATCACAGCTTTGGATTTATGACCATTTTTGGATTTTGTTTATTTTTATCAAATAACAAAAAGCTATTTGAGATTTTTTTTAAAGTTAGATTTTTAGTTATTCATTAATTTTCTTTTCGGTTTAGTCCCTTTATTAATCAGTGGTCGCCACAGTGGAATGAACTACCCATATTTAGTTATTTTAGTTATTTTATAGATATTTTATTTATTTATTTTTTGTTATTTTTTTATACATTTTAGTTATATAGTAAGATTTTAGTTATATTTTTTAGAGTTATGTGACTTTTTGTAGTTAGCATTTTAGATGCTAAAGACTGAAAACCTCATTTTGATTTCACTGCTGTCTCATTGATTTAGGTAACCGATTTGAAGGAAAACGAATTCTACCAGTTCCAAGTGCGTGCATTCAATCAGGCTGGTATTAGTGAAGCCTCCATACCCACTGCCCCATTGGAGTGCAAGGAATGGACCGTTGCTGTTCCAGGTAAAGTAGTCAGCAGTGGGACTTTAGCATCAGGCAGTGAGACTTTATTGTGTAAATGAGACTGTCGAGTTGACAAGGCTTTTTAAAGTTTGTTTACACCAGAGCATCTTTTTGTTTTTGCTCCAACGCCCCCCATTGTCCACAAAAATATTCAAAGGCCCCAGGAAGTTTACAATTATTCATGCAGTCCATTCTAAAGTTGAAGAAATCCTCTTTCAAAGTGCTCTAAACTTGCTATGTCAGAGGCTTTTTTTTAAAGGGAATGATTTTGAAGGGTACAATTGATGGACACTTTCATTTGTAAGAGTTTTGGACACAAATGGAGTGATGCAAGATGTCAAGTGTGTTCTAAGGAACATGTTTTTTTTTTTGTCCCATACACCCTTCATTTCTTCAGTGCTCTCACAGTGGAGGGTAAACACTTAGTATAGACCTTAAGAATGGAAAGGTTAGAAAGGTTTGACTTTTTTTTTTAACAAAAGTATAAAAAAGCAGCCATTTCCTGACAGTATATAGAGCACTTTATAGAGTGTTATGAATAAACTGTTTTAAGAAGCAGAGCTGGCTTTTGTTTTTTAGAAACAACATTTCTAACATTTCTTTGAGCTGGCATTTATTTTTAATGTTGGCTTTGTTAGTTTTCTTTATTCTTTTGTTATTGAAAAGTACAGAAAGACCACATGGTGTACTATATATGTACTTTAAAAACATTCACTCTCTATCCAATAAATATTTTAGAACTTGGCAGAGCTAGATGAGTAGATCTGCATACTAAAGGGATAAAATGTCCCTGAGGTGCATGACTATGGACATTTTATTAATGATTTTCCATGGTTAAAACTCTTGCTTTTAAAATGACACCACCTCATATATCTAGGTGTTTCAATGCAAATGGGGTGTTACTTATTTAAGAAGCTTGATAGTTAAATTTAGAAACTGTTTTTGTTGTCTTAATCATCTTGAGATGGCATCAGGGGACTTGGTAAATGACAGTATATGTTGGGATGCAAGAATCGGTCATTTTGTCACAGTGTGTCATAGTCAGTGGCAGGTATGAAAAACTTCACAACATTTTTCCTTGACAAAGGTTTCCTTCTCATTTAAACAATAAGAACATAGAGGCTGCTCTGTACAAAGCTTTTAAATATAGTGAAACGAAAGTGAGACCATAGTATTTGTGTCTTATGTAATTAGGGAAAGGTGTGTGGATCTTTTGTGATGACAATACAAAGCATGACATTTTGTCTGACATTGTTTGTTAATGCTTATTATTCCATAAGTCAGTCATGATTTCTGTCTCAATTATAGCATTTTGCATGTCATTAAAGATGACAAGTAATAACTGGTTGGGAAGCAACGTGTGCTCTGTTATCTTTCTAGTTCATAACATTACATTCATTCAAAATTGCATAATCGGGCACAGAGATTTCTTTTCATTAATTTTACTTAAACTTTTACAACAATGCCAGGTCCTCCTCATGGCCTCCGTGTCCAGGAAGTGCGTAAAGATTCCATGGTTGTTCTCTGGGAACCTCCTACATTCAATGGTCGCAGTCCTGTGACGGGATATTATGTGGACTTTAAGGAAGAAAATGGCAGATGGAGATGCGTCCAAGAGAGATCTACAAAACACACTTATATGAAGGTAATAAATAAGATTTTTTTTAAGTCACTGTTGTTTTTTATGTAGTAAGGGTTCCACACTAGGCATGGAATGATAATCATTTTCAAGGTTTACCACGGTTTGTAAAAGTCAAGGTTTTAAAACCACCATAAAAACATGTTTTTTTGCGACTATTTCATTTAGTTTTTTAGAACATCTACATCAAAAGCTACTGGTCCAAAATATTTAAAATGTTTCTTAAAATAAAATATATTGTTTTCAATGGAGGAATTTTTTTTTTTTTACCCAGACATTTAAAAAGAACATATTTTAGAGCAGTTATCACAATACTGTGCAACCTTGAAACTGTGATTTTTTTTTATCCATTGTTATCATATCTTCACAGTCTTTTAGCTGCCCATGCCTACTCCACACGACTGGCCCCAGCGAACTTTAAATTAAGCTCTTTTTTGTTCTTTGTTTGAGGGCAAAATAAGTTCCAAAAGACTGAGTTCCAAAACACTATAACCCTCCCACACTGTAGTATGCAGGGCTGTAAATACATCAACAAATGTGTGAGAGGAGTGAACAGTTTTATAAACATCTGGCAAACAGTTTTCTCCAGCCTGTCGCACACCAGATGAGAAGCTGAAAAGCACCAACGAAGCACGCCACATCTTTTCATTCTTTTCTATTTGCTGCTGACGGACACAGAATGGTACACCTCATCCGTTGTGTGACCCCATCTGAGTCTTTAAAATATCTCTGTGAGCGATCATACATGTACGATACATCTGTAGAAGTTCTCCTACTACACTCCCCAGTGTGTTCATGTTTCTAACTTGGTGGTGGTGTTGTTCTGTCTCACCTCTGTAGATTTGTGATACAAATAGCATGTCCAACAAGGCTTCCACCACACACCCACCAGTTGCATAATTGTCACAAATTAATGTTATCTGAAAGGTGTTTAGATGCCAAAACCCCACCTAAAAATTCGCTACGATGAGCAGTTTTGAACTGCCAAAATAAACTCAAAGCAAATTTAATTTTGGCGGATTTTGTTCATAATGATGTCATTTTATTTGTTCTTGATATATTGTATATATAAGTATTTTAGGGCCTTAACATTTATTACCTGATTTGTTATCATACCTAACATGCTTTATTCGGTAATGCTGCATGTGCAATATGTTTTCTCTCTTAGAAATGCACAATAGTTTGACTGGAGAGTAGCAGGAGCATAAGTTAGGATACAGATGTAAATATAGTTTATTTTACAAAAACAGTACCATCTGTATCAATTGTAACAGCCTCATCCTTTGTTCATTTGTAGATTATCATAAGTATAATCACATGTTTGATGTGTTTCAACTGTTTTTGTCAATGTTGTGGAGAAGGACAGCACTATTTCATTCATTTTCCTTTGGCTTAGTCCCTTATTTATCAGGGGTCGCCACAGCAGAATGAAAGGCCAACTATTCCGGCACATGTTTTACAGTGGATGCCCTTCCATCCACAACTCAGTGCTGGGAAACACCCATACACTCTTGCATTCAAATACACACTCATACACTACAGTCAGTTTACTTTATCCAGTGGGCTATATGCACAGCTAGTGTTTTTCAGCCAATGATAAACTTCCAGTGAACGATTAATGTGACTATTTCAATTTTCATAGCCTTTTACAGCATCAATGTTGTAATGTAATAAAACACATTCAGTGAAATAGACTTAAGCATCCATTTAGTTGCTCAAGCGTAAAATGACGCGAAAGATGACGTAATCGGTAGCACTTTCAGAATCAGCAGGCTAGCACAAAACCTCCATTAAGCACACTGGGACAAAATAAACTGTCATATTTTAAAGACATGGTGAGGGAAAATGGAATTTAATTTCAGTGCTGCTTGTCAAGTCTAAAACCCACTTTATATCATATATTAATCTGGCAGTGAAGATCTCAGATTTTTAAAGAAATCAGACCTTCACCCAGAGAGCTGAGGCTGGCTGACTAAAATTAAAAGTCTGTGTGAACTTACCCCATTCACCTATACTACATGTCTTTTGGACAGTGGGGGAAACTGGAGCACCCAGAGGAAACCCACGCAAAACATGGGGAGAACATGCAAACTCTACACAAAAATAGCTCAAATTCATTTGACTTCAAATATGTTTCCTTTGTGTTTATACCAGAGAGCTCTGTATCAAACCCGATCAACAGATGTTTAGTGTTCATGTGACTGATTGGTACAACAAACTTCATTTGTTCTTGTTTGTGCAGAGTTGGTAAATGGTCCGTGGCACACAGTTCAAACAAGTGATGTTTTCGTTCTGCTTTTGGTGTGCTCAGCTATTTTTCTCATATCTAATGCCATCCCTTATCAGTTGGCAAATCGGTGGTGGCACCGGTGTGACCTTTTAACAAAATGTAGTCAAACTGACTGGAAAAAAGATCAAAGCTTTACTTCCAGGTGAAAAATGCAGCTACTTACAGTCTGGAGCACTTCATAAAGAGTTATGCTTTTACTGTTTGAAGAAACAGAGCTGGTTTTTGTTTCTTAGAAGCAACATTTCTTAGAACTGGCATTTATTTTTAACGATGGCTTTGTTATTTTTCTTTATTCTTTTGTTATTCAAAAGAACAAAAAGAGCAAAACATCAGAGGGCGTTTCACTCATTAGTTTTCTCTGTGTGATAAAGGTATCAGGTCTCCAAGAGGGCATCTCCTACAGGCTGCGCATCCATGCTAAGAATCTGGCAGGTGTAGGTGTGCCCTCAAAGGCAACGGATGCAATTTTGGCTGAGACCCGTCCTGGTGAGGTTCTTTCAAGGACATGAATGCAGCTGTGTTTTAGAGGACAACATCTGTCTCTCACAGGCTCCACCGCTCATTTCACTGTTCATGTTGGGTTTTCCTTAGGAACCAATGAGATTGTAGTGGATGTGGATGACAACGGTGTGATTTCACTGATCTTTGAGTGCTCTGATCTTAAAGAGGACTCTCAGTTTGTGTGGTCTAAGAACTACGAGGCCTTCACTGACAGCTCAAGACTCACCATACAGACTACTGGGGGCAAGTAAGTCCAGTTGGGAACTATCTAATAAAGTCGTGCATTAGTTTTTTGAATGCTCATGATCCACTGAGAATGGCTTTAATGTTTTATCTTTGAGCACACAAATTAACAAATACTGTAAAAAAATGTATTGGCAAAAAGTCAAGACAACAGATTTTTTATGTTGTTTCTACTTATTTGGTATAAGGTTATCAGGTTTAAGTATTTTTTATTTGTTTATTATGTTATACAAAGCAAACAAAAAAAAAAACAAAACACCCCTTTTCTAGAACACCAGATCAAGGAACAATATATACTCAAATGTCTATAGAGAAAAAAAATGAAAACATGACATGAAAATATGACACAAGCTCCTTTTTTCCCTCATATTGTCATGTTGTGTGCGTCCATTTCTATCACAAGAGTTAAAAAAGGTTGCCAGACCTTATAAAATGTCTCAACAGACCTTCTGATAGTATGCCTTATTTTAACTTAAGATGAGACATCACCTCTCTTATCCAGTGATTATGTGTTGGTGGAATAGGGTCTTTCCATTTAAACAACATCAGTCTTCTAGCCAGAAGAGAATCAAAGGCTACCATTTGAATTTGACTTTTGTTGAGAGGAGCGTTCTCATGGGGCCACCCCGAACAATGTGAGAAATGGTGATGGCTCTACTTCCACTCCAAATGCCTCAGAGAAGGTCTCAAAAAAACTAATTCAGTATATGTAAAGCTTTAAACATGTCCAGAACATGTGCAGCAGAGTAGCAGAAACCTGCCTACATCGATTGCATATGGGATCTATGTCAGCATTTATCTTAGAGAGTCTAACTTTAGGCCAGTGCAAACGATGAACAATTCTGAATTGTATTAAAGCATGTCTGAGGCATATGGAAGATGAGAAAATTCCTTGTGTTATTTTGTGCCAATCTTCATCTGAGATTGGTTCATCTAAATATGTCTCTTATTTGTTTGTAAGTAAGTCTAAGCATTCAAGTATATTTTTAAATTTATACAAAATATAATGTAAGTTGACATGACTTGAATAGTTCGTTATATTCAACTAAAAAAGTTAAGTCAACCAGAATTATTTTACAGTGTAGAAATAACTACAATAAGAGTGTGTAACAATTTCACATTTTTTTTACATATGAAGAATTGCATCTGAAATGCCATCTGAAAATTTCTTCTATAATGATCCTTTTCCTTAGACTTTTTCTTCTCAGACGTGTGTACAGTAGGTTCTGTTTTTATTTTTTTAAATAATAGGTTCTTTTTACTGCCTTTAATGTGAAATAACCAAATAAAAACATAGCTGTCTGATAAAAATGCTTATTTTAGAAGAAAGGTTTAGAGGCGTTTGCATTCAAACTTCATATGTGTATTTAATATTAACGTCAATAAAAAGATAAATCACATTTGATTACATTTTAATTTGTTACCATGTTTCCCAGAAATAAGCCACACATGTCACACTGTCAAAATTGCATTGCAAAAAAAACAAAAAACACTGTTATCTATTAAAAACAACAACATTTATTTTAAATGTCAAGCCAAAAAAAAAAAGATTACTGAAACCTGCTTTTTGCATGTTTTGCTGGATGTTAATAACATATAATCACTTTGAAATATAAATTGCACCATGTTCCCAATGACAAAAAAGTGTCATGTTCAGGGAAATAAATGATTACATTACATTACATTGCATGGCAGTACAAGGCTTAACTAGATGTGCAAGTCATTTGTGATGTATACCTGTTGAGCTTTTAATTTCCATGCAGGTCCAGAGCCATATTTAATGACCCATCATTGGATGACTTGGGCATTTACTCTTGTGTGGTGACCAACACTGATGGTGTCTCCGCCAGCTACACGCTCACTGAGGAAGGTGAGTCACTTTCCTTTAATCTGCAGTTGAGGCCAGTGATATTCAATCCCAGGACATTTCTCAGAGTGACCTTCTTAAGAAGGGATTACAAGGAGATCATTCCTTCACGTTCCATGTTCATTTTCCATAAATGATATACAAACGATCACACTCCTCTGTAATATTCTTCTCTTGGAGTCAAGTAAAAAAAGTATGTGACGTAAGTTTGTCCATTATATGACATGTTGTTTACTTTTTGTAGGACTGAAGCGCCTGTTGGATATCAGCCATGATCACCAGTTCCCCAGTAAGTACTTTACCTAGTAGTACACCAATTTTAGACTATTAAAGGGACAGTTTACCTCAAAAACAGAAATTTACTCATTATTCACTCACTAATTTACTCACTCAAGTTGTTGTAAACCTATATGGGTTTCTTTAGTTTTCTGTTGAACACAAAATTACATATTTTGATGAAACCTAAAAAATGGTAACCATAGACACCCATAATAGCAAAAAAACAAATGCTATTGAAGTCAATAGGTTTCAGGTTTCCATCTTTTTTCAAAATAAAGTATTTTATGTTCAGTATAAAACAGGGTTGGTAAAAGTCAAGGGTGATGTAAATATAATTTGTGTAAGGATCTAAAAGTAAACAATGATAGAATTTTCAGTTTTAGGTGAACTATTCCTTTAAGACAAGACACTGATGTTTCCCCAGTTGATTACATTATTAATTGCCAATTTTTTTGTATTAAAAGTAGTCTAAAATTATACTTTAGATATGCAAACAAGTCATTATATAATTTAATAACTAAGTGCTCATTTTTAGAACAAAAGCCTAAATGCTGGATAATGTCAGGTTCATAATTCTTATTAAATTTTTTAGATATTACAATCAAAGTTATTTTTATCAGTTTATAATTCAGAAAATACTACCAAACTGCTAGAAATTACACATGTTCACAAGCTTTTGATGTATAAAAGGTTGTATATAACAGGGCAAATTATTTACAAATATATATTTTTGTAAAAAAAAATAAATCAAGATTGAAATAAATATTAAATATAAACAAAATAAATTTAATAAATATGAATAAAACTGTATTTTGTATGTAATTACTGCTGAAGTGAAGATTTACGGCTTAGTGATGAAGAGGAAACTCATTTAAAAAAAGCCTAAAAAAAGCATGTAATATAATGTAAATCTACAGCCACTTTGATAAAGTGTGACAAAAGAAACATTTAAAGCATAGTAAGGATGTTTTCTTTACTTTAGGTTAAAAAAAGCCCAGAATCTTAATATTGTCAGGTGCACAAAACAGGTATATGTTAACTGTGACCAATTTTCTGCAGTAATTCCTTTCAAAAGTGAAATGGCCATTGAGCTGCAGGAGAAGGGCCGTGTGCGTTTCTGGGCTGAAGTTGGCAAGTTCACTTCTAACCTTCAAGTGGAATATGTCTTCAATGATAATGTCATCCATGAAGGAAAGGTACAATATATTGAATATATTCCTTGAAGGAACCCCACATACCTTATTTATCACTCAATCTTGAACTGCATATGTGATCATATTTTGTTATTTTTGTTTATCAAACACTTTCAGAAGTACACAATGAACTTTAACAAGAGCACTGGCATCATTGAGATGTTTATGGATTTACTGGAGGTCACAGATGAAGGAACCTTCACATTCAACCTTGTTGATGGCAAAGCAACTGGTCGTACCAGCTTAGTGCTCATTGGAGAAGGTAAGGTCGCATTTTTATTGCATATACTTTATGGAGGCTTGTTTCTACCACAGAATTAAAATAAAGTATAGATAATTTCTGATTAAAAAAATCAAACTTTCTTAGGTTTGCAAATATTTTTGGAATTCAGATATTTTTCTTATTATTTTGATTTTGTATTTCACAATGTCAACTTATAAACTATCTATTCTGAGGAAGATTGCAACATTTTAACTCTTTTTTTTTGTTATTTAAACAAATCAGATTTGCATGAAAACATATAAAAAGTTAAATAAATAAATACTTATATTCAATAATAATAATATGTGAGTGCTTCTTTTCTGCTATTATGATTATAATTGTTTTAATTGGGAGACAATATATCATACTGTCCCAATTTCTTTCTTTATTTCTTTACTCCAAAGTGGAAACTTGCTTTTTTTTACCAGTTTACCTACATCTTAATGCATCTATTGCCTACATCTTAACTACAGCTATTTTTTTAAATGAAAAACATAAAAAAGAATCCTTTTTTTTCTTCGGCAATCCTAAAATCAGTTCTACCAATAACCGATGGCCTGATCTCACTAGTACAACCATTATACTGAGCTTTGTATGAGTTTGTCCTTTAGAGGGCAGAAGAGCACCATAAATAGCTGCAAATCCAAATGAACTGCACAGGTGGGTTGTTAGCAAATGTGTTGTGTTCAAGCTCTAGGGACTGCTTATGAATGGCCTCTAAACAGTGTTCAGCACTCAAAATAACCAGAACTCTGCATGCTTTGATCGTTTTCTTCTATTTTTTTACAGAGTTTGCTGAGCTTCAGAAGAAATCTGAGTTTGAGAGAGCAGAGTGGGTCAGAAGGCAAGGTATGGCATTTTTACCATTTGTTAGGGGGGGTTGAATCACATTTTGGTTGTATAAAACCAGTCTAAAACTGTTCTTCTACACTCAGGTCCTCATTTCGTTGAGTATCTCAGTTTCGAGGTAACACCAGAATGTGATGTGCACCTGAAATGCAAGGTAATCAAACAATGAAACCATCTTCCTACGCTCAAAAAATATACTTTTTCCTCTTGTTCAAACTACTTAGCTGAAACAAACAGTTTTTTGGGACAACTTGCTTATTTTATGTTCAGTCCACTTAAATTTGTAAAAGCAATTAAGTTCACGTAATCAGTTTGTTTTGGGACAAGAAATTGTATAGAACCCTGCATTTTTTTTTACAATGAATGATTCAGGATGATGTTTTCCAAAAAAAAAGAACTTTTTTGTATACATTTCCTGCTCCAGGTTGGAAACATCAAGCCTGCCACTGAGATCGCTTGGTTTAAGGATGGAATTGAAATTGAAGAGGATGATGAGGATGCTAAGAAGATCGGAAAATCAGATGAAGTCTTGACCTTTGACATTGGCAAGGTCAGACTTGATTGGAGCAATGATGTCATCATTTTTGACATCCATATTTTTGTTATAATGAATGCATTTTTTCTAGATGCAGTATTACATATGGTATATGGTATGCTAAAGGCTTTGCTATACTAAAAGCCACTTTCCTCTCTGACACACGGACTCATAAATGATGAGATATATTCATATGTACAGAAACTGCACAATTACTTAGGAGATTCAAATTAATTTCATGATATTTATGATATGATAACATTTAATGATACATTTTTAGAAATGCTTTTAAGTCAACATGAAATTTACAGTATTTGCTTTAAACATGTCTTGGTCTTATAATGCTTGATTCATTTGTGTGTTTTTAATAAAGAAAATGGCCTGAAAAAGTATCAACTGCACTCTTAAAAGTTAAAAATAATCCAAAACAAAGCCGTAAAAGAACCTATTTGCGTTCCCAAAATGGAAAAACATTTTTGTTAGTTTGAAGAATTTTTGAATAATCTAAAGAATATTTTTCGACTATACAGAACCTTTTGTGAAATGAAAAGGATCTTTGAATTGTAAAGGTTCTTATTTTTAAGAGTGTAATACAACTTTTACAAAATGTTGCCAGTAGTTAGTGCAGTAATATAATGGTGGTTACAAAAGTTAAAGAAATATCCTATGCTTTCGGTATTTTGAAGAGAATAGGCATAACTGATTGCTTTATATATTACACTGATCAACATTTATGCCCATATATCATAAATATATGGTTGTTCCGTGTGTGAACCTTGGTTTTTAAGGAATACAGTTCCTGAAATCAATCAGATTCAGATGGCAGTTTGTAAAAGAGCTCAAATGATCATATTATGTGCTGGTCTGACCTCCATTTTGCAATATTAATGGGTTATAAATATTGAAAGCCATCTTAGTTTGACTGAATTCAAGTACCAATAAGGTGCCGGTCCAGATGGACTGGGAGAGAGGGGTGGATTTATTGCATGCTGCAGATGAGGGGCAAATCCCTTGCCACTCCAGTAGGGTGCGCTGGCATTAACAGCAATGTTTGTTTAATTTACAGCTTGTTATTAAGAGCGAAAAGGCAGAGCGGAAAAAGAAACCTGCAACAGAAGAAAGTCCAAGCAAGCCAAAAGTCTGGAGCTTTGATTTCTAAGTTGTTATCAGTGTGACTGTGTTGTTGTTTTTTGTCTATTCCTCTCGTACCCTGTTGGCCTGCAGCATCCTCCGCAGGAGAAAAGCCTGGCTTTTCGGTCTTTCCTGTTTTGTTTATTTAAATGTTGTTGAAAAATGTTTTCACTTCTGATTCGTATTGATAAAGCTACTGTCTATTATCTGTGGCTCACTTTTCTTACACTTCCCAACAGATTTCAAAGAAAGATGCAGGAGTGTACGAGGTTAAACTGAAGGATGAAAGAGGAAAGGACAAAACTTTGCTGAACCTGACAGATGCAGGTAGGAGCCACTTTGTCATCAAGGTTGATCAGAATTCTGAGTTCATGGTCTTTCAGCTTGTGAGATAGAATTTGCATTGGTCTGGCCACATCCCACTGGATGTTAAATGGGAATTTGAATTGGAGTGACAGGATGTAGAATTTGCTGATTTGCAATTCAAAGAATTTCAGCACAGACAAACAACAGAATTCTATTAGTCTGGCACAGCAACACAATGAACAAGGGCGAATACATCAGGTGTTTTGTTCATTGTTTTGATCAAAAGGAAGACTTGTGAAATAAAAAAAGACATTTTAATGATTTATTATTTATAATTAATGTATGAATATATATAATATAATTTATAAATTACAGAATTTGAATGTGGCAATAAAATACAATTTAATAATTGTCCTAATAAATGCTATAATTTTTAAAATTATAATTTTATGTAATTACTTTTTTTTTTATTGCTATTACAACAAATAAAAAATATTTCTTGTTTTTGCCAGGTCTCATTTTAAATGTTGTAAATTAAAATATTCATATACACAGAAAATGTTTTTTTTTTTTTAAGATTTAAATTTTTAAAATTTATTTTCATTTAATTTAATTTTCTTGTCTGTTTAGTGCCTTTATTCATCAGGGGTCGCCACAGTGGAATGAACCGCCAACTTAGCCAGCATATGTTTTTATGCAGCGAATGCCTTTCCAGCTGCAACCCATCACTGGGAAACACCCATACGCTCTTACATTCACACTCATACACTACGCCCAATTTAGCTTACCCAATTCACCTTTAGCTCATGTCTTTGGACTGTGTGGGAAACCAAAGCACCTGGAGGAAACCCACACAAACACAGAGAATATGCAAACTCCACACAGAAATGTCAGCTGACCCAGCTGGGGCTTGTTGATATATTTAATGTATGATTAAATATATTTTAAAATTCAGCTTAAACTTGATGATGCTTTTTTTCCTTTGTATAACAGGTTATCAAGCAGTGCTGAATGAAGTGTTCAGAGTTATAGGTGAGTGTTCTACTCTCAATTCTTCTTCACTCAGCGTTATTGAATATACAGCAACATGATGCTCCATTAGTAACATGCTCACGAGCACTCACATCAGATCAATGTCATGTAATTTTCATGCATTTATTTCTCTGTTCTTATAGCAAACTCTTCCACCGAGCTCAAGGTTATGAGCACAGAACACGGAATCATTCTCTACTCATTTGTTGTGCACTATCTTGAAGATCTCCGTGTAGGCTGGCTTCACAAGTAGGTTTTCTCTCCCCCTTCTCAGTCTACTTTAATTTGTGGGATGCTTTATTGTGACTTCAGTGTCACATTAAACATACATAAACAGAAAATCCTGCAAGAACTAATCCAGTCTAAAGTCCTGTCAATTTGTTTGCTCACTATACCATATCACTTTATAAAGCTGTGTCCAATGTCCTTGTGTGTTGTCCTTTTGTTTCTAACTGGTTCCAGAGAATCAAAGATCTCCCACTCAGACAGAGTCCAGTGTGGTGTCACCGGAGAACAGCTGTGGCTCAAAATTAACGAGCCCACCGAGAAGGATAAGGGCAAATATGCCATTGATATCTTCGACGGCAAAGGCAGCGTCAAGAGAGTTCTTGACCTATCAGGACAAGGTAAGAGCTCAGGTGTTCCAACACGTGTCCTTGCAGAACTGCTGTATTGATTAGAGGATGTAGGGAACTTCTGTCAAGACAACTTTAAATTATTATTGATTTATATTTATAGATTTATTTTAATAAATACAAGGGCAAAATCTTTAGCTCTCTTGTGAAATTTGTAGTCTTTTTGAAAAATATATCTCAAGTAATGTTTATCAGAGCAAGAAAAATGTAAAAAAAATATCCTATTCTATATTTATTCTTGTGAAAGCCTTATTTTCTTTTGTTAGGTAGGAATTAAAATACACTAAGTTCACTAATAAGATTTTTTTTCTGATTGGCTACAGAGCAATCCACTGCTGTCCAATGACTTGCCTAATTAACCTAACTTGCATATAACCTAATTACCCTAGCATAAGCCTTTAAATTGCACTCCATGCTGAATACTTGTATCTTGTAAAATAACTAATGAAATATGATGTACTGTCCTCATGACCAAACAGAAAAAATAGTTAGGAAAAACTGTTTTTGTCCAGTTCACATTTTAAATGCTGTAAATGAACATATTTTTATTTACAATATGGAACTTGTTGTTGGTCTTGATAATTTTTATCAAAGAAAACAAAGATTAACGTAATACTCAAACCTATACATAATTAGTCCAGTATATTCTTATCCAGTACAACTGACAATTCAATAGACCATTTCAATATGATCATGTTATTGGCCCAATGAATATTTCCTGCTTGTTATCAAACTATTTCATAACTGTAACAAGAGGCAATTCAAGCATAACTTAATGGTAAAACAGCTATTATAACATTACTTATCAATATGTGTCTCTTTTTGGATTCTTAGAAGCTATAGAAATTTAAAATGTGAAACAGGAAATACGTTGGGACCATATAGAGTTGAAGTCAGAATTATTAGCCCCACTGAATTATTAGCCCCCTTTTTATGTTTTCCCCAATTTCTGTTAAACAGAGAAGATTTTTTTCAACACATTTCTAAACATAATAGTTTTAATAACTCATCTCTAATAACTGATTTATTTTATCTTTCCCATGATGACAGTAAATAATATTTTACTAGATATTTTTCAAGACACTTCTGTACAGCTTAAAGTGACATTTAAAGGCTTATCTAGGTTAATTAGGTTAACTAGGCAGGTTAGGGTAATTAGGCAAGTTATAGTATAATGGTGGTTTGTTCTGTAGACTAACAAGAAAAAAAAATAGCTTAAAAGGGGCTAATAATTTTGACCTTAAAATCATTTATTAAAAATTTAAAACAGCTTTTATTTTAGCTGATATAAAACAAATAAGATTTTCTCCAGAAGAAAAAATATTATCAGACACACTGTGAAAATTTCTTTGCTCTGTTAAACATAATTTGGTAAATATTTAAAAAAGAAAAAAATATTTAAAAAGGGACTAATAATTCTGACTTCAACTGTATATATATTTATATGTTAGATTTTTTTTATATTTACTGTTGCACTAAAGTCCAGAAGTTAAGAATTTATGTTATTTATTGCTTGATTGCTCAAACTACCTCACAGAAGAGCTCTGTTTGTTAACAGAGTTGTTGAATGTTAAAATAAGGTAGATAAAAAATAAAGAAGAGCAAAAAATGTTCTTTATTTTTTATTTTATGTATTATAGAAGTATCGGATCAGGTTTCAGTATCAGTAGATACTCAAAATCAAATGACTCGGACTTGGACTCAAGGGCAAAAAAACCTTATCGGACATCCCTAGTAGATATATGGATGGATGGATGGATGAATGGATGGATGGATGAGATAGATAGATGGACAGATAGATAAGCAATATTGCACAGGTAGCTCTGCCATTATGGCTGTATAACAGCTCTGCTGTGATTCTAGTGTGGTGCTATGAGTGTGATAATGTTAAGTGTGTGACCTGTGTGCCACATCGGATTTTAAGTTTCATGAAGGAGCTCTGGAAACATAGCAGGAGGAGAGAAAATGGTGGAAGACGGGAGGGGACCAGGCCTGGGACATTTTATACTTGGTTTTGCCTTCACTTTGATGGCTGTCATCCATGAGAGGCTGCTGCACCCATTAGTTTTGTTTTGTTTGCTTTATTAACTTGTTTGAACATTCTCTGGTTTTACCACCTCCTTCTTCCCTTGAACAGTGAGATTTGTACTTTGTTACATTGGTGCATAAGCCTGGGAGGAAGAAGGCGGGAAACCGGTGAACATTTAAACACTTTAATCAACAAAGTAAATAAAAAACAAACAGTGGTGACAGCCTATCGTTGATGACTGCTGCCTAAACAGAAACTGAAACTAAACATAACGTGCCAGGCCTGATCCTCTCTCGTCATTTACAGTCATCTCTCCTCCTTTTATATTTTTAGAGCTACTACATAAGATTTGAGACCACTGTGGTCTTTTAGTTAAACATCTGCCATTACATTTATATCTGTATGTTTTTCACTTGTTTATTTCTATTTGTGTAGTATGGGAGGAAGCATTTGAAGAATTCAAAAGGCTGAAGTAAGTTTGATCTAATGAAAATCATCATATTCTATTAATGTGACAAGTTTTTTTTTTTTTTTTTTTTTGCTGCTATTCCCTGGTCAAGACCCTCTTGCATAAGCTGTCACAACAATACTAAAATAGACTACCCGTGAGTGTGTCACTGTGGGCTTACAGTGAGGCATTTCCTGATATTGAAAAGTGCAAGAAGAATGCATCACCTTAGCAGTCACCATTACTATTTAAAGACCCAAATAACCCATGTTTGTCTGTCTTTCCTTCCTCAGGGCGGCGGCCATAGCAGAGAGAAGTAAGTGATTGTCTTTGCTATTATTATAGTGCTATCACAAAGTAAACAGATTCACAATGGCTGCAATCTGAAATTCAATCTGGTGTGCATCTTCCAAAAGCTATTATGGTCGCAAATTCTAACATTAACAACAAATCTCAGTAGAACCTGTGACCATAATTGGCACCTCAAAACATGTTTTGATTCAATTCCATAATTAATAATGTATGCCTGAATATTTTGAGCAGCTTTTATAGGAAGCAAGTACCTTCTTCCTTATATTGAAGTTTCTGGAAATGGCTAATTATTAAATGGTTTGTGTATTATTAGACCGGGCACGTGTTGTGGGTGGCCTGCCAGATGTTGTCACCATTCAGGAGGGCAAGGTATTATTATTATGACTCATATGTTTATTATTATGTCTCATATGTGCTCTTTTCTTAGAGGTGCAGAGTGTGATTTCTGACAAAAGCTGTTAATATTTAAAATCCACACCCAAATAAACATGTCTATGTAATTGCTCTGCCCCAAACAAGTTCATGGATATGTTATGCATTACAGGCAATGACTTACGGTTGACATGTATAACAAACAATGACTCTTTAAACTGTCCTGTTACTATAGCTGATAGCACAAAAGCAACCAATGCTGCTCACATTTCCAATACTATCTAGATGCAACCTTGATGACGCAAGCTGAGACTTCATATCTCAGTGATGCAACTTCAGACACAATGCATTCAATGGATCTAGTGTCGAGGGTTAGGTGTGGGGTTAACGTGTTAAGGTGTTAAGGTGTGGGGCACCAGGTCTGCATCCAGACCCCTCTCCACGTTTCAGCTAAAGCCACTAGAGTAGTAGACAGACACTATAGAAATTTAAGGCCAATTTATCCCCAATTCTTGTGCAGGACCTCGGTCAGATCCCAAGTTCAACCCAGACTATTTGGTCATTCGAGGCATTGACGAATCACATCTCAGAACTCCCAATCTGCTTGCAGACACCTTGATAATGTTGAGCATGATTGATTTTGAACATTTTAAATTGGAATGATTATTACTGGGGGCAAATTCCAAATGGAACTGAGCATCCCTATGCCCTACTCACTTCAAAGGGCTTGAAAGGGCTCTTGAAGTAGGCCTTTCGAGGGAACTGCACTTGCATGTGATAATGAACTCATTTTAAATGAACTGAGTGCAATGCAAAGAAATGTTATTTATTTCCTCTTTATTCTTACCCTGAATGTTACCATGACAATGGTAAACAGCAACAAAATGAATATAATATTTCTAAAAAAAATACATTTAATAATAAAGCGTTAAACATGCATTTCCTCATTGGACTTAACTTTATAACATATTCCTTCTCTTCTTTGAGCCCTACAGTGTTATATCTGCTAATAAATGCATTTCTAACCCATGAAATTGGAATGCATAAGAGAAAAAGATAATATTTCCATAATGTCCTTGCTGGAGTCTGTAGCACAATGACTTACTGGACCAGGTCCAATACGTAGTGGACATTGTAATGCCCATGCTACTGTGATGCTTGGGTTTAGGGTAGATATAGAAGTTAATAATACAATGTAATAGGTATTTTATTCATTCATTCATTCATTTTCTTTTCGGCTTAGTCCCTTTATTAATCTGGGGTCGCCACAGCGAAATGAACCGCCAACTTATCCACCATATGTTTTAATCAGGGGATGCCCTTCCAGTTGCAACCCATCACTGGGAAACATCCATACACACTCATTCACACACATACACTACGGACAATTTAGCCAATCCAATTCACCTATTACTGCATGTCTTTGGACTTGTTGGGGAAACCGGAGCACCCGGAGGAAACCCACACTAACACGGAGAGAACATGCAAACTATTGGGCCTGGTCCAGTACATCATTGTGCTACAGGCTGCAACGAGGACACATTCAATATTTCAGAACAAAATAATGTGATATACTGTGTAACGCAATACAGCTAGCAAAGTGCTATGCAGGTAAAATCCTCTTCTCTGACCTGAAAAGGTTGCTCAAGGGAAAGATGCTAGAGGCCATGGTCTTCCATGGTCTTAACCTTGTTAGGACTCCCATGCCAAGGAATCGCCAGTTCGATTTCAGCTCAGAACAGGTTAGGTGCAATAGGACCGGTGGGTTACATGTGGGGGCTCGTCCGGGATAGGAGTGAGGTTACACCCAAACCACACTGAGCTGGGATCGAACCAGTGTTTATACCGTCATGTTCAATCATTAACTCAAATTCTATGTCTTTATTAAACTTTAAAATGAATCATGAGAACTTTCCAGTATGGGCCTCATGACCCTAAACAATAAATTTCCTGCCTAAAGGTGACGATTCACTAGCAAATTTCTGGAAGGGCCTTTTGTGAACCCTTATTTTTCTTCTTTGATCTTTTTCTTGTTTTTTTTTTACTGTTAATATTTCCAACTGTGTTTCTTAGAAATCTCTCACTGCACCATGAGTCTATCAGGAATGTGGTCTCACGTTTGATTTCACCTCACCCTTTTTAGTCCCTCAACCTCACTGGCAACGTATGGGGTGATCCTGCTCCTGAGGTCAGCTGGATCAAGAATGAAAAACCGCTGGTGTGTGATGAGCACCACACGCTGAAGTATGAGCACAGCAAGTTTGCCAGCATCACCATCGCTGCTGTCACCACAACCGACTCAGGGAAATACGCCCTGCTGGTGAAGAACAAGTACGGCACAGAAGCGGCAGAGTTTACTGTCAGTGTCTACATCCCAGAGGATGAAGCCGAGAAGAAGGAGTAAAGCCACGCACAAATGGAGAGAGGGGTTTAACAGATGACCAGTACACCTTCCAAAGCATTTTAATTCAAAGCATGTCTACCCACAGTGCAGTGTTGTATGCTGCCAGTGTATTTGTGATTTAAAAAGTAACTGCAGCTATTTGGATGAAAGATATGGGCAAGTTATGCAGGTTTTGTTTCTAGGCTTTTCACACTATGATAAACTTAAAGGGTTAGCTCGCCACAAAATGTAAGTTCTGTAATCATTCACTCACTGTAATTGCAAACCCGTGAGACTCTTGAGGAATCATTTGTGATGGCTGAGAGATTTCTGTTCTTCTGTTTAAAGTTGTCATTCAAACTTCTGATGCTTTACAATATTTTGTAATGTTATCTATATGAGTGATAGACTTTCAGTGAACAGGCAGAAAGCTCTTTGAATTTGACTAAATATTTTCATTTTGGTTCTGAAGATGAATTAAGGTCTTGATGATGGTGAAATGGATGTCAGAAATACACCAAGATAAATCTTTTTTTTTTTTTAATTTTAGTAAAGGCATGTGGATGTTGATTGGAGGTTGCCAACATTTAAAAGTTTCTCTAGAAGTATCAATCCCAGATTGTGGTAGCAAACATATACTTTTAAACTGCTAACCTAGGCTAATGTATAAACCTGAAAAAAAAGAAAATACTCAAGTGGATAACCTCAAATTGAATTACCAGTACATGCAGCTTAAATTTCTAATTTATAAAACTAATGAAATATGATAATTTCTTAATCCTGAAACCATTAATGTGTGAAAAACATTTGTGAAAAGCATTTTAGCAACTGAAGATGTGCATCTTGTTGCTTTGTGTTATTAAAACGTATTAAAAACACTTGAGTATAGCAAAATTAATGTTTTGAATTAAAAAGCTTTGGTTGTTGCTTTATTTTTAAGCAAAACTGGAACATTAGTGTGAAAATAGCATGTATCTCAACTGTTGTCATGGTTTAATTAAAACTGATTGTCAGTGTGAATATACTGTTTTGTGAGACAGTGTATCATATGATTAAAATCAAATTGTCTTTCAGCTGTAGACAACAGAAATTTAAAGTTGGGTAAAGGTTGCTATAGCCAATGTGATTTGGTAAATCCTTTCTCTGTAAAAAATATATATCTGGATACTCTCATTTGTAGTTTTATGATTTATTGTTATATGTCTGCTGATATATCTTGCTTAATGCATTTTATGTGTTAATATGTGTAAGGTTTGAATATAATACAGTAAGCAGCAAGACAGTTTAATCTGTGTAGGTCCTTCAGATAAGCAAATGCAAATGCTATTGAGTCAAGACGCTTTTGTTGCTTTGTGGTCATAGCTGATATACAGATCATAGTCAGTGCTATGCAATAAAATTAACCAGTTATAATGCGAAAAGTGTGTATGCCTTTAAACCTGCCAGTCCTGTAATTGTAAGGACCTGCACCGTTTCAAATTAGTTTACATCATATTTATGCATGATAAGAGAGCATGATAATGAAAATGAAACCGCTTGTCGACTGAATAGGTACGGAGCAAGCATAATCACAAACAACCTTCTAGAAGGAAGTGGTTGAGGAGGTTGATCTGGTGATTTTTAGCCAGGGGAAATTCTGCTTTGGCGGGTCACGTGAGAGGCCTCTTTTTGAAGTGCCTGCCTGCGTCGCGTCACGTCACGGCCAACCGCCGCCGCTGTGTGTGTGAGCCGCTGCCTGACCGGTTCGCGGTGGTTGTACCGTAGAAGTGACCCTCCGAAAAAAAATACTCAGTGTTATGATACACCAAAACATCAGGAGGGATCCGGCAGACATGGAGAGCTGTAAATACTCGCTGCTTGTTGAAATGAATGAATAACGTCGGCGCGGACAAGCAGACGGCGACAAAACGTCCAGTATCTCAACAACAGCAGCAACTGAAAGGTAAACATTACTCGTGACGTTTCCTAGTTAACGTTAACTATTTTAGGCTAATATACAACGTAAATGTGTGTAATGTTTATTTTAAAGCTGAAGCGCGTTGTGCTTTGACAGCATATAGGTGCAAGTGTCATTTAGCCCGTCGGCTAGTCGAGCTAACCAGAATGCTGATGCTGTGACAGGATCATCCCCTGTATCATATTAACGTTAAAACCTAACATGACATGCCTTCAATTTGGTTATTTGTTCGTTTGAAGCTAGCTAATGCTACATTTAGATACAAACATCACTTGTATGCCGATGAGAGATGTTGTGTGGATGTAGAAGACTGCAATTTTACTAAACAACAGCATTATGTCATTGCACTGACCGACAGGAGTTTGACACACAGAGAGCATTAACGTTAGTGTGTGTGCGATTTCGATGATTTTGTATTTTTAATAAGACTAATTACAAAACTAGTCACTTAATTTCTATCAGATAAACAATTTTTCTGTGATAATTTGACATACAAACAGCCAGGGCTGTTAAGCAATCGCAGGCTCATGTGGTATTAGTGAGCATTAGTGCTGATAAAGACAGCTGTACTCAAACTTGTCTGAACTTGTTTACAACTGTGAGCAGCACTTTTGCTTTTAAACGAGTATTGTCGAGCCGTTAAATGCAAGTCACTGTTTTAACTTTGTTTTCTACTACTGTGTTACCCGATATAACTTTCTGTTATTTAATACATGGCTTCTGGCTATATCTTGTTATGACATTGTTGTTCACACATACTCTATGCTTTGTGTCTCTCCTGAATGACAAGTCATGTTGTTTACCTCTCAATGTCAAAGAATTGAAAAATTAAACCTTGAGCAACATTTGAGGAGACCACATTTGAGGAGCTGTAATATAGGCATTTCTAAATTGTATTGGCTTTCTTTGTTTATACGTCTAGATTTTGTTCAGCAGGAGAGAATGCTTGTGATTATTTTTGCTGACTTGTTTGTCTTTTGTAACTGAACTCAATTACCTTTTTATGTTATGCAAGTGGACGACACAGCAAAATGTCAAGCAAAAAATGTCAAGCAAATCAGGCGGTTAAACCATTTTGTAAATTCAGTGTACCAACCATTTGTGTTAATTCTGCGAAGGTGTGCTTTTCAAGGTCAGAATTGATTCAAAAAAGTTTTCAGTTTTATAACCTGACTTCACCTTTTCAACCCTGGTTCCATTTTGGGGTATAACCTGCCACCTTTGTGGGGCCCTGTGAACTTTCGTTCGGTCTTCTTTCGTTTTTTCAGTTTTTCTTGTTTTCGTTAAGTCTTTCTTCCGTTCGGTCTTTCTTACTTTCACTATTATTGTTTTTTTCTTTCGTTCTGTCTTCCTTTTGTTCGTTTGTTCTGTCAATCTTTCGTTCCATCTTCGTTCCGTCTTTCTTACTTTAGGTATTATTGTTTTTCTTTTGTTCTGACTTTTTTTTGTTTGTTTGGTCTTTCTTTCCTTTGTTCAGTATTTCTTCCGTTCGTTCTTTCTTTCGTTCGGTCTTTCTTTTGTTTGTTTGTTCTGTCTTTCTTTCGTTCAGTATTTCTTTTGTTCTGTCTTTCTTTCGTTCCATTTTTCTTACTTTCACTATTATTGTTTCTTAATTTTTTTTTCGGACTCCCTTTTGTTTGTTTGGTCTTTCTTTCCTTTGTTCAGTATTTCTTCCGTTTGGTCTTTCTTTTGTTCGGTCTTTATTACTTTTGATATTATTGTTTCTTTCTTTCGTTCTGTTTTCCTTTTGTTCATTCGTTCTGTCTTTCTTTCGTTAGGTCTTTCATTTGGTCTTTCTTTTGTTGGTCTTTCGTTTGGTCTTTCTTTTGCTAGGTTTTTCGTTCAACCTTTCTTTTTTTTTGCATTTCAATTGTTAAAACAAATGTATGTCTAATTAGTTGAAATATTTTTTAATGTAAATTTTGTAAAAATAAAAATTTTTAAAAATATATAAATAATCACTTTTAAAATAAGTATTTTTTCTACAAATGAAGTTTTATTCATGAGAAATTTAAAATATGAAAAAAGAATTGTGTAGTTATTGTTGTTTTTACTTATTTTTTATATAATTTTAAGTTAAACCAAAATAATTTAGAGAATTATTTTTGTTTTTTTCTAAACTATACATATGACATTAGTTTTTCTCACATAAAATGGTATAATGCTAGTGAAGTGAAACTCATTTCATAACCACTCATGTTAATGATTTATTAATGTGTTCATATAGTGGGACAACAGATTCCGAAAAACACCACATGTAATGCAGTATGTGTTGCATATGAAACCCTTTTTAAAAATTATTTTCTAGTGTGGTTGAGTGATTTGATTAGGCATACAGTACTGCTTTTGACTTATTTATTAAAAATCACCAGTTTGTTTATAATTTGTGTTGTAATTAATTCTGGTTTTGGTAACTGGATTCCAAATTTAATCATACAGTTGTAGACAGAATTATTAGCCATACTGTTAAAGTTTAATTCTATTATATTTTTGGTTCTGTTTAATGGAGAGGAGCCTTTTTCAACCAATTACTAAATATAATAGTTTCAATAGCTAACTTCTAATAACTGGATTCTTTTTTCTTTGCCATGATAACAGTACATAATATTTAGTAGATATTGTTATTCAGCTTAAGTGCAGTTATATACGCAAGTCTGTAAATTAGGTTAAATAGGCATATAAAGGTAATAAGGCAAGTCATTTTATAACAGTGGTTTGTTCTGTGGCCAATTGAAAACAAATTGCTTGAGGGGGATAATAATATTTATTTACCCAAAAATGTTTTTTTAAAAACTGTGTTTATGCTACCCAAATTAAAACAAATAAGACTTCCTTTAGAAGATTTTTTTTTTTGAAAATGCTGTGAACATTGTCTTGCTCAATTAAATATCATATGGGAAATATTTGAAAAAGAATACATATTTCACAGATGGGCTAATAGTTTTGCCCTGATTTGAAAGTAACTTCCTTTGTGTGAGTAGCAAAGCATAGTTATACTTTTAATATCCCCACCGAGTAGCCTTAGGTTGTTGCAGGATTTTGGATGTTTTTGTAAATCACTTCATAATTACTTTATTCATAATCGCTTTATAATTATTTACTAGAACTTCTGTTACGCCGCTTTGACACAGTCTACATTATAAAAGTGATATATAAATAAATATGAATTGAATTGAATAGTTACTAACAAGAGGGGAACTGTTAGTTACATGTTTGCATTAAAGGACAACAGCCTTTGCTACTTTTTCTTTTTTCATGGCAAATAACAGGCATTTTGTTCTACACCTGATATTTTCATTATGAACAGAGGACTGATAACATGTACCTGACAAATACACGTGCCCTCTGTAATTAGAGGCGTTCCTAGAGAGAGCTTAGCCACACAGAGTAATTTGCTTCAACTCTGGGTTTAGTTTGTGACTGTTAAACAGAACAGATGAACATACAAACCTTTGGACATCTTGCTTTAAGTGCTTTATTGTATTTTAAAACTTCAATAGCAAATTGGAAACACACGGTTCAGACTATGTAGGATGTAAGATACACTACCAGTCAAACGGTTTTTTGTTTTTCATGTTTTTTTCATGTGTTTTTTTTTTTCTGTTCATCAAGGTGGCATTTATTAAATGTAATGTATTTTTTTTATTGTTCCATTTTTATTAAAAAATTAGATTATAAATAATTGATTTATTCTTATTGTATGTAGTTTCAAATTATTACTTCAGCCATTATTGCTTTTATTACTATTACCATTATTAATATTAAACATAATAATATTTATATTAGATTGATTTCTGAAGGATCATGTGACTCTAAAGACTGGAGGAATGAAGCTAAAAATTCATCTTTAAAATCACTGGAATAAAATATTAAATAACAAACTACTTTTGAACAGTTATTTTATAGTGAAATAACACAATTTTACAGTTTGTACTGTATTTTTTATTAGATAAATACAGCCTTGGTGAGGAGGAGAAGCTTATTTTAAAATATTTAAAAATCCTACTGACCCCAAACTTTTGACCGGTAGTGTACGTCTCTGCCATATCAGTTTTTATGTATTGCAAAACTTGTTTTGTTACATTCTAGTTGATTTGTCATAAAATCATTATTTTTAGCTAATACTTTTTAACTTCCTTTCACACACTTGCAAACTAACAATCAACACTGAGCTAATCATTCAAATGCATTGGTAATCTTCATGAGCCCTGTTTTCTAAACAGTAATGAAAAGATGACTTAGCGCCAAGGCATCACAATAATAATTATAATAATAATAATAATAACACAGTTATTTATTTTTTGTATTAAAATGATCCTTGTTATTAGCAATCTATCCAAACTATAATTTTAAAGAGAACACATGTACTTGTAACATAAAAAAAATCTATTTGAGCAATTCCATGTTTTCACCAAAATAGCAAAATTCTTTCTAGTTTTTGTTTTTTTTGTGTAGATTTGTATTTTACTGTAAAACTACTCAAAAATGTTTCTGTCAATGTTTTCCAACAATTATATTTGATTTACCAAAGTCACAAAAGTGGCAATTTCATAACGATTTTTCATCATAAATGTAAAAATGTAAAAAAAAATATATTTTTTTTCTATAGTGAGCCAACTCTTATCTTTTTAATTGGCATTATTTCTTTTGGGTTGTGCCGTTTAATTAGCAGCATTTCTACAAAGTATACTGTTTACTGTTAACTCGCAGACTTTTTGGTCACATCGTTAACACGTTTATTTTCCTTATTTAAAATCTAAAAAATATTTACAGAATGATATTTTTCTGATCCTATAACTCTATGGTTAGTAGTTTTAGTAGTTTTGGAAAACAAGCAGTCTCATCTATAACACCGGAATTGCTCAGTTCTTATATTTAATTGAATGATTTTTGAAGAAAAAAAACAATGCGAGTTTTACAATGTTGTTCAGTGAATTAAATATTGCTCATTATATAGCATGAGATTACTTTAAATATCAGTAAGACTCATAACTGGTACTGTATAAGCTAAATGTCACTATTGAGTTATTATGCCTCTGTAGAGGATCTGCTGAGTTAAATCATTAACTAAAGTAACCTGAATTTTTATCAGAATCAGCTTGTAGGACGTTCTCCTCATGTGATTGCGCAGACGAGTGAAATACAACTACTGTTTTCTTCCAGCTCTCTTATCAGTGGTCAACCCCACCGGCCCCTCGCCGGAAACGAGTCTTATCTGTTACAGAACTGCTGACCCCCTACTCCTGCCTCATTGGCTAGAGAAAGTGGGTTGTTGTCATGCATTGGTTAATTAGTCAAGATTACTTCTAACATTACGCGATTTGACGACACTGAAATACAGCTTCTGTTATTCCAGTTTAGGAAGCGTCAGAAAGGTTACAATAGTTTATATTTGTATCCAAGAAGGTCATCGAGACAGACATGGTAGGCGGGCCACCTGAGATAATGTTTAGAATGACACAGGTAAAGAGATTATTAGTATGGAAGGCAAGACTTGAGGTAAACAGTGATGAAGAGACTCCATTCTAGAACAGAAGCAGAAACCACTGGCACTGAGGAGGACAACAGTGAACAAGATGAGTCCTCATCCCTTAGGGCGTCATGGTCCTGGGTGAGTGAGAAATGCAAATGAGACGGATCATAATTATATGGGTGTGTAGTAAAGACTCCAGTTAAACTTTAGTTATCTGAGCTGCTATTATTATCACCCATTAACAGCGTCAACGATGACTGCACATTGAGCGTGCTTTACGTGTTAAGTCTTATACTGATTATGCCTAATGACATCATAATTTGTTAAGTCATATAAACACTAAAATGTGTTCTGTTATCATGTATGGCTCATAAATAGTTTACAGAAAAACAGACTGGCACTCCTATGCTTTTATCCAGTCATGCATTGCAAAACATTTACATTTAAGGAACAAAAAAAAAAAATTATTTTAAAAAACATTAAACCATTTCACACCTCAAAGACGAATGAAGAAAGTCACTTGATTATAGCATGTCACTTCTCAGACGTTCTACAACTAGACAAGTTCCTATTTAGACAACAAAAACAGGGTCCAACAGACAACGACAGGAGTAACGCACTGATCCTACAAAGCCTTTAGAGTAAGTGAAGTTTTGATTTTTCGCAGGATACATTTTTATGTTTGATTTTTACCATTGGAAAAATGGACTTATGTGTAGAATATTTTATAAAAAGAGATTGCTGTTGCATCTTGACCTATTAATAATGGTTTTTCGCAGTGGTTCACAGTGCCATGTGTGTTCTATATGTGTTGAAGCAATTATAACTTTTAAGCAACAAAAGTTACTGAAGTGAACCTAACTAGCTTTCTATAGTACATCTTAAAGGCTGTATTTTTGATGATTTTTTAAATTTGGACTGTGGATGTTCTGTTCATCTGGTTAAGGTTGTTTTCTGGAAATCAAATATTTAGATATGTGGAGATTGCTGATATGAGTGCTGCAGTGATGACCCATGTTCACACTGTCCCCTATGAATTATGCTGCAAATAGGTTATGTGGGATGGGGCCAGATGTGCTTTTTTTTTTTTTTTGCAAACTAACAACATAATTTGTTTTAAAATGATCAAATAACATTGCAAATGTTAAGTTCTCAACTACTAACATTTTAAAAGTGTTTTACTTTAATTTATACTTTTTATTTTTACTTTCATTTTACTACAGCAGAGATGCATAAATACACAAATCAATTTCCCTAAACATTACATTAATCTAATATTTAAAAAATAGCATTATAATTTTCACGAAAAATGGTAGCACAGATTATTAATAGCAAATTTGATCATCTTATTTCAAAATGTTTCTGAGCACAAAATCATGTATCAGTAAGATATCTAAAGGATCAGAAATATGAAAAAATGCCATAGACATCAAGTAAACTGTCTTTTTTTAAATGTAGAATTATTATCAAATCACATTGCACGTTTAGTTTGCATACACTAACATTTCAAAGTTTGCAGCCAATAAAGTTTTTTACTTCAATTTATGCATATACATACACAGTTGAAGTCAGAATTATAATTAATAATTCACTATAATCTTGTATGTAAAGTTGCTTTGACACAATCTACATTGTAAAAGCGCTCTACAAATATACAAATAAAGATTAATTGAATTTAATACAGCAAGGACACATATATCGAACAAATGCTTTTCTTCAAAAATTGTATTAATCTAAAAATGTAAAAATGGCAGCACAGAGTTTTAATAACATAATTGATTGTGTTATTTTAAAATGTTTCTGAGCACAGAATCACACATTAGAAAGATTTCTGATGGATCAGGAATATGAAGAAATGCTGCTTACACTAAAGAAATAAATTACTCAATTCAAACGAAGACTGTTTCAATTTTAAACAATATTGCTCAATACTACTGTTATAATTTGAACTTTAAAAAACATGACCAAAGAGGAAGTGCATATACTCTTAGGCTTTACTCAGCTTTTTGTAAATCCCTGTTTTTCTCCTTAAGGGAACTGCTTGTGTATAGAAGCCTGTTTTTTCTCTTGAGTGCTTTAGAGAAAGTAGTTCATGTAAATAATGGCTGTTATGCTAGAAAAAAAATTAATCAGGTTAGCCAAGGGTGCAAAGTCTGTTAAGACCTTTCAGGCTGCCCTTATGGTTTTGAGAGAATGCTCTACTTGGTTCCCTTTTCTTCCCTTCAGGCATTTATACAAGCAGTGATAGTATTTCATCTTACGGTTTCCTTGATGTGATGCATAAAAATAGCTTGCCTGTTTTCACATTGTTAGACCTCATAATAACTAAAACAAGCCTTGTTGTTAAATCAGAATTACTCATTGTCATTACCATAATAATACATTCCAGGAATAGCATTTCTGTGAACTTCACTAACACTGTCAGTTGGGGATTAATTTAGCGTGTCGTCTCATACCCTAGGCATTAACCTTAAATTTAGACGGGATGTTTTTTGAATAATTCACTATCATAAATAAACATGTCAGTCAGTTTTCTTACATTTATAGACATTTGTAGGACATCCTGGTTTATACTTGTTAGACAGGTACTGGAAGAATGCCAACAATTCAGCAGAAATGTACATTAGTCTTTACATTTGTAGTTTGACAGGAAGCCATTTATCACATCTTGTGAGCTCAGGGCAGTTGTTTGTGATTAATTTTAAACTTTTTTTTCTCATCGTTTTGATCATGGTGTTGGAACACATTCAGACCACCACTTGTGAAACCGCGTTAAGCCATCTGAAGGTCTTCTGATAACAGTTTTATAAAGGCACGCAGCCAAAAAGAACTGTGAAGTAGTACTGTAAATTGGTGATCATAGCACATCCGCCTTGCACAGATGCAGTACTGGAAGAGACTTATAAAAAAGTAGTTCTTGTTTGCAATGCTTGTTTATATGATTAAGTTTGTTTTGCTTTCTGTTCCTCTTTTTAGTCGGACACCATGAATTACGTGGGGCAGTTGGCTGGTCAGGTGCTGGTGACCATGAAGGAGCTGTATAAGGGTATTAACCAGGCCACACTCTCCGGCTGCATTGATGTAGTAGTGGTCCGCCAGAAAGATGGAACCTACCAGTGCTCTCCTTTCCATGTGCGCTTTGGCAAACTGGGTGTGCTGCGTTCCAAAGAAAAAGTGGTAAGTGCTGCTGTGCTGGGAAAAAACTGTTCAAAGAAAACATCTTGTTAAATCGTGGGTGTCATTAAACAAGTCCAGGGAATCCATCGATCTTTTTCAGACAACTGAGTTTCTGAAAGCTTTTCAAAGCATGAAGTAAAGAAAAATCCACATCCAAGTCACTGTCAATAGAATTGATCTGAGCTTTGGACACTATTTACTTTTGTGCTTTTCAGCCTGAAATCTATAACTGCATTAATCTCCATTGTCTTACACTAAAACGTCTGGACGAAAGAGCAAACACAAGTATGATCAAAGAAGCTTAGCTCTAATCCACAAATGTCCTCATGACTCTTGTTTGCTTCAGATGTGCCTTCATCTCTGCTTGTAGATGATGGTTCATTTGAAAGCACTACAGTGTGCATGCAGGCTTGTGTCTTTGTACCAGCTCTGTAAACATGCTTTTGTACTGGCATGTTCGTGACAGAAGATTCCAGCAGAGGGTATTGCATATAAACAGACCTAGATTTGCAAGCGTAAGCGCTGGCAGAATAAATGAATTCAGTGGAAAGTCAAGAAGATCATTATTTAATACTATGTCAACCTGGAGAAAGCGTGTTTAATTTTTCTCATTTAAACAGTGAAATGCAGCAATTAATAAGGAAATGGCTGTAGATATGATTAGTATGTGTTTCCCACCAGCTGTAAATGTCAAGATTTCCGGCTCTAAATAGCATCTCTTAAAGCATTCTGGTCATATTGACACCGTTCTGATGTTTTCAGTCATATATAGTACACAGACAGAATGTGTTACAGTGTTTAGCATAAAACATTTACCAGTGTGCATGAGCAACAGCGGTGAATGGGGGGGATGGAACAGTTCTCACTATCTACAGGATGTGTGAAGAGGTTTAGAAAGAAGTGGTCGCTATGGCAACAGGTTTCTCTGACTAAAAAGAGATAGGAAATGGAGGCAGACGAGTGAGTTTTGTCAAGGTTGCCACTGTGATTGGGCGATAGATTTGCTTCAGCAGCCTTTTTAGCTAGTTCTTATAATCACAGTTTCTTGCGGGAGTCTGTCAGAAACTGTGGCGTAAAACATTCGATGTAGATAGCAGACAGTTGACCTTGCTTGCCTACCACCATTAAGAAATAAATCTAGGTTGTTAAACTAAACAAATTACATTGCTGAAACAAAAACAGTCATTTAAGAGTCACAATAACATCCGGCCCTCTCATCTTGCTATGCCCTGAAATGAAATCCAGATATTGTTGTCCACGAGCGTGCATGTAAGAGAGCTCTCTGTTCGAGATTTACTCGGGTCATGATTTATACCAACATTAAAATTCTGCCCCATTACTCAGCACGCATAAATCAGCCAGCAACCATGAAACTGAGGCTCAGAGGCCCCCGAATTGACAAAACAAGTAGGTTTGAGACAAGTTGAAAGAAAAGCACGGCACACACAGGAATAAATCTGTATTTACGTGAAGGTCTAACTGAAGGATATTGTTTCTGTGGATGTCATCGGAGACTCAAACAGCTCGATATCAGGCTGCCATTGTGCTGGGCTGCAGTATCAGGTGTGTGATGTGAGGTGATCCTCTTTGTGGTTCAGCTGGCTGCACTGCTTTCAGAGCAGCACAAATTCACTAATTGTGTTTGGTGGCTAGATCCCCCCTCCGTGTGTATTGTGTCTCTTGTGAGCAGATGATTAAAACTGCATAGATGGACAGGAGAGTAAACCTGCTGTTTGTTCAAGTTTGGTTGTGCAGTGGCGGTAGGGTGAAAAGTCATGAGTTCAGAAGGGAATCGCAGGGTAAATGTCAACGGTTATTGGCTTTTTAAGGTCATACGACATGGTTATATTTTTTTAATAAAATAAAATTGAACATTTCAAAGGTCAGCCATTTGATTTAGAATCAAGGTGTCAGATAATTATACAAGCACAGGTCTGAAGTTAATACATTGGAGTGTAACATTAAAAAGTTTGAGGTGCCTTTCACATTACCACTGTGTTTTAAAATAATCCTCTTCAACTCCTTCAGATTGACATAGAGATCAACGGGGAGCCTGTGGATCTCCACATGAAGCTGGGAGATAATGGAGAAGCTTTCTTTGTACAGGAAACCGAGGAGCAGAATGTAAGTGACTTCTATTCCACATTTGCTGCTGGTTCTGTCACTCACATTAATGACTACTGATCATCCACAGTTTGCAATATGAAAATGACATTATGTTGGAAACTTATTTGCATTGCAAAGGCTGTCATGCTTTAATGGTCTTTTTAATGGTTTTTTATTCTCCTTCTCTTTTTTGTAGGAGATTGTACCAGCACACCTGGCCACCTCCCCCATTCCCACAGAGAGTCACTTATTTTGGATCGGAGGCGATCATAGGTCAAGTCAAAACCTGGACGATGACCCACTTGATCCAGAGGACCCTCCTGATCGACCAGTTGCCAGCACAGGGGGAGCCAAGAAGAAGAAGAAACGGAGAAAGAAGCATAAAGGTGATCCCCGGCGAGAGGAGTTCACCCCCCCTGCCGTTATCAGCTCTACCCCTTCCACAGATGAAATATTTGAGATGGACCTGAGTTCTGATGAAGACGCTATTTCCAACACTAGGTAACCAATCCAACATATGAATGCATGTTAGACATACTGAAGGAGTGGACAATGTTTTTAGTGACTCGAAAAATCTGTCTTTCAGATCATCTTCAGTCAGTACAGTTAAAGAAAGTGAACCCAAATTACCAACAATTCGACATTCTTTGGACAGCTACCCTTACTCTGACGGAGACTGGTCTCCATCAGATAGGTTTGTTTATACTTGCAATCTCATACACACAGTTTAAAATATGCTTTTGGGCCATATCAGATTGAAAGGTTTGTAAAAGGTTCAAAGGCTTTGAGTGTACTTTACTTTCACTTTCTTTTATTTAATTTGAGTTAACGGGAGTTGCTGTTTGTTGTTCTATTTTGAGCAGTCATGCTATGTCAGAGGCCTTTTCTCCCAAGAGTGACTCTGAACTGGTTGTTCGGCCCTCAGAGAGCCTTCTCAAAATGGAGTCACACATGCAATGGACATGGGGAGAGTTTCCAGAATCTACAAGGGTAAATTGTAGTTTTGGTTTTCTTTAAATTCGTTCTGCAGTTGTTTTCCCAAACATAGGTTTCAACTTTAATTCCTGGAGGGACGCAGCTCCGCACAGTTTTGCTCTAACCCTAATTAAATACAGCTAATCTAGTAGTTTCTAGTAGTCTCGAACACCTTGATTAGTTGGATCAGCTGTGTTTACTTAGGGTTGGAGCAAAACTGTGCAGAGCTGTGGCCCTCCAGGAATTGAGTGTAAGACCTATGCTTTAAGGCAATTCAATTCACTCGGCCCCCATCTTGGACAATATGCTCGGGCATTCTGTCTGAATGGGGAAACAACAAATTCTACAAAATTGCTTTCCAAGCTTACTATTAAATTTCATGTTAGGAAGCACCAATAAAATAAAAAAATAACTGTCTTTTTAGTGTAATTTCTATTTTTTCCTAATTGGGGATGCTCCGATCAATCGGCCGATTATCACATTTCATTACTTGATTGGTACTCGTGAATCTGGGCGATCTCATGATCATTTCCATTGATGACTGATTTGGGGAATTAGGGTACAGTGGGTTGTTTTGTTTAACAAATATTCGCACCTGTAAATATTTTTAAAAAATTGGACGGAGGTAAATTGGGTTTACTTTGTAGTTGCTCAAATGAAGGAAATGTTTGATCAATAATATGCCTTTAAAATTATGAATTCCTTTATCAAACTAGTCATCGTATAGTGTATTTTTATAAGAGGGAGCAAATGAAGGATTTTTTGTGATGGGACTTTAGAAGAAGCCAGCTTGCCAACCAAAACTATTTACGCCTTTTTTCGTACATAAAAGAACTGAATGTTCTGTGTTTTTGATAATGTTACAAGTTCACATAACCTGGCTGGAAATATTAATAAAATAAATATTTTTTACTTATTTAATAATATAACTTTTCCTAATATAGGCCTCATAATTGCAATAAACAGTAGTTTATTGGTCCATTTCCTTTTAGTAAAGAAGTAATTTATTAATAGGTGTGCATTTTAACTAATTAAAATTTTATACATCAAATATAGCCTACCCTCCAAACTTTTTTTTATTGAGACATATTGAATTCTTCTACCATCATTTGCAGTGTTTCTAAATTGCTTTGTTAATTATTTCTTACCATTTTTAACCATGTTTAATCTATTATTTTCTGTAAACCTCTGTCTGACCATTACAAGTCCACACTAAATGGTTATAAGAGATGCATTTAAGGAATTGTATGCAACATCCTTTATTTATTCTCTTAATTGAGAAGAGATCTTTACTTAAGTGTCATACTTGGAGGGAAAATGTGCTTTAGGCATTATAAAGCTTGAAGCATCAGAATCGGTACTCTGTATCGGCTGATCAACATGACAGGAAATCAGTATTTGGTATTGGCTGCAAAAATCCTGATTGGAGCATCCCTAGTTTGAATCTGCTAAAAATCACGCCTGGTTCGAGCCCCTCTCCTGGAGAATCTCCAATCTATATCGATCGCTGATTGGTTTCTGTACTAGAAGACGGGGCTCCATTCGCCATTTGACATTTCACTTTTCTCCATTCAAAACTATACAAGTGACATGCTTTGTGTATTCTATAGTCTTTGACTTTCCCCTTTAGAATCAGAACAGAAAATCTTTTCTGCAGTTCTGTCTGGGTCTAGTAAAAGAGAATATAGAGTGCAAAAATATTTCATGCTATGATTTTGAATTAACAGGTCATGATTAAATTCCATCTCATCACCCTCTCTCAAAAATGTAATTTCCAGGTTTCTAAAAAAGAAAAGATAGAGCTGCCGAAGACCGTGACCATAACGCCTTCAGAAAACACTCACTTCAGGGTCATCCTCAGCTCAGAGGCCATGGAGACGGATGAAAGAGAACCTACATCAGGCACTCCAAGTTGCACCATAGTCAAGCCTGAACCCCGCACTCCTGTGACCCCTAAAACTCCCACTGAGTCTGAGTTGGAGACGATGCCTTGTGAAGTGCTGACCTCCACTCCTTCAGACATTCTCACTGCTGCTCCCACTTCTCCAGCCGCTGTCTCTGCTGCTCCTTTGGGTGGGGACATTGGAGATGTTGGTTCCAAAACTGACTCTCCTTCCAAGAAGAAAGGTGGGTCTGTAAGGTCCGCTTCCTATGGTACTTTCTTGGAAATGTTGCTATAATAAACGCGGTTGATTGACTTAACAGTGGCTGTTATCTTTATTTGAGAGCAGGAGTAGATAAAATTGATAAAGTTGTAGCTGTTTCATATTTTAACAGGCCAACATCAGCGTGTTCCAGAAATAAAAACACTGTGCACCTGAGTTTAATTTAGTTCGGTCAAGAAATTGCCAAAAGCTTGTTGTAGCGCTAACTCTTCTATTATGTATGATTATTGGCTAAAATGCTGATTGTACATTTTTTACTGTAGGTGTCCCAAAAAGGAGTCAGCACCAGGGCCCAGAGGACATCTACCTGGACGACCTGAATGTGCTGGAGCCTGATGTTGCTGCTCGCTATTTTCCTAAGAGGTAGAAAAATAATAAATCCACTGAACTATATTGCTTTTAAGATTAGATTACAGCACTTGGAAAGCAGTTTATCAAGAGTCAGGCGACTTGTGTTGTGTTTGACTTGTGGCTGGTGTTGTGTATTTGCAGTGATTCAGATGCTGGTTCCAAGCACTGGATGGATTCTGGGATGCACTCTGGCTCTCAGTCACCACAGTCTGTGGGCAGTGCTGCGGCTGACAGTGGCACCGAGTGCCTGTCTGACTCTGCCAGTGATCTCCCTGACGTCACCCTGTCTCTGTGTGGAGGACTCAGCGAGAATGGAGAGATTTCCAAAGGTATCTGAATTATTCTGGAGTGTGCATTCATTGGTTGCTGTAGGCATGGAAATGGGAAACTGGGGTTAGGATGTGGTTAAAGGTGCAGTAGGTGATCTGCCAGAATACTAGAGTTAGCATAATAGCTCAGAAATTGACATCCCTCCCCTGCTGTTCAAAGCCATGCCTCTTTAAGTCATGAACACGCAAACGAATAGATCATCTGATGATGATAGACAACCTTATATAACTCTAGATCATGTCATTCGTTATTTAGAAAACTCTATGGAGACATGCACTTTGTCCAGCGTAGTTGTTGACAGGCCAGTGGGTGCAAGAATTATATTTTCCCAAAACTGGCATTGGAGTAAAATTGTTTTTATATTCGCACATTCAGATTTTCTAATTTCAGGTAATTATTGTTTGCAAATTCTAAATAATGAAATAATATTAGCAGCCAATGACTATAAAATATGAAATTGTTCACAGACAATGAAATAGTGCTAATGTTGATTTGAAGTCATACCTACACACTATTTCAGACCAATATTCTAAGTAGCTTTAGAGGGTTAGCAGCATGTCACAAGTTGCCACTGTTCAAAAATGAACGAATGTGCGAATATAAATCAAACTTCACCTCAGTAAAGCTGGTTAGGCAGAATTTTATATTACACTTACATTACCAAGACAACGAGTGACTTTTCATTTACAGTTGTGCTCACTGATCCTCGTACATTGCTTGTTTTCATCTCCTTTTACACTTAAACAACTAAATGAGTGCTTTGGTCTATTTAACCGACTATATTATCGATGCTGTAAAAGGTACTACGTGAAGTCAATATTTTGCCGGATGTGTTCAGTTGCTGAACAACACTTCCGTGCATATAAACCTATTCATAAGCAAGAACACAATCGACATAAGCTTTGCATGGCTAAAATAGTTTTAAAACATACCTGTCTAAAAGTAATACTTCAGCCATGGTGTCACCCTTCGGATCGTGGTTTTGACCTGAATAACGTCATTTCCCTCCAGCATGCAAAAGTAAATCCAAAATTGATTCAAGATTTAGAAAAGTTTTGATTTTGCAGTTTTGGCAGAAGCCCGTTCAAATACAATGTTTCTTTTTATGGATACAAGGTCTTTCAGAAAGTAGTCTTTCAGGTTGATGCAGAGTGTCTGTCTGTCAGCTGTAGGTGGCCATGCTTCATGTGTACACGCAAATGATGCATATATCTGCAGAAAGAGGCTGCGCTGAAATACACAGTTACTTTTCGTAACTGAGTTATTTGTCGGCCCGACAATTTGTAATTGGACAAACATTTTTTAGCCTTATAACTTACCTAGAATATAACAATACATATAAATACATTTAGATCATTTACTTTAATCATTAATCGGAATATGAAGAGACTTTCAACCAGCACAACAAAAACTGTTTCTGAAGACAATCCCCTACTGCACCCTTAATTCTCTTTATATGAATAGATTTCTGGATTTACCACGTGTTTTCAGATGTGAGCAATGCAAGTGATTAAAGTTTCTCTTTCTGTTTGCTTCTAGAAAAATTTATGGAGCATATCATCACATATAATGAATTTGCAGAAAATCCAGCCATCATAGACAATCAAAATTTAGTTGTTAAAATAGGAAACAGGTGGGTGTAAAAATAAATAAAATATATATATCTGTATATGTATAGTTTATAATGTATATATTATTTTATAAAGTTAATTATCTTTTGTGTTGTTTGTTATTTCAGGTATTATAATTGGACACTGGCCGCCCCTTTAATCTTAAGCTTGCAAGCATTTCAGAAGAATTTACCCAAGGTATTTGGTTCTCCCTAATAGGATATTTGACTTCCTGTGATGTTTATTTTACAGTGCTGTGGTTTACTGTAGCAGGTCAAATAGCTTTGTCCATGATCTGTTTAGGCAACTGAGGAAGCTTGGGTGAAAGAGAGGATGCCAAAGAAATCAGGGCGCTGGTGGTTCTGGAGAAAGAGAGCAGACAGCACTATTAAACAGGTAATAGCAGAGCATTTTGTGACCTTCAGCTGCGTATAACACAAAGCTTTGTGTTTAAACATAAAGGCCCTGGCTGAGCTGTAATCAGTGAGTAGGAGCAAAAACCTTTAAGCAGTTATTGGTCTTTTAATCCCACTGCATTCCAGCACTTGTCTTTAAACTTCTGTGGGCTGATCTGATTACACAAGCATCAACATTCACGTAATTGCATGAACAAAATGATGAGGGCAAGTCTTTGTTGTAAAGCAGATGAAACGCTCTACCTCTGTAATTCGTCCCTCTGGAGCTTCTGCCGTCATTCAGACAAGGCATCAGACTTCTTCGCTGCCCTCAACTAGCACTTCTGTAATTAGCACCACTCTGTGGTGTGGAATTTTACAGTCTAGAAATAGGCCAGGCAGCTCGTCAGACTTTTTAGTATTAACCTGAAGGCATGTGAAGATGACAGGGTCATGTAGTCAGTCATAACACATTTCAAGGACAACAAAAGCAAACGATGACATGTTTACACTCTTTTTTTTTTTTTGGTGCAGTTTTAGATATGTGTCAGTGTGATCTGATCTGCTACTGTTTTGTCTTGTTATACAGTCAGAAAGCACTGGAAAGCTGGAAGCAAAGCAGTCCCAACTGGAGGAAGGGAGCTCTTCTTTGTCCATGGAAAGTCATGCCCGCAAGTGAGTCAAAATCACTGATGGACAGGCATATGCTGTGTCATTTCCTGCCTGAGATTTCTTTAACAACTTGCAGATAACATTTGAACCGTCTCTCTAAATGTATACGAAGGCTAAAGATGGCAGTAAAAAAAACAATAGTGTTTGTAAACGATAAACGTATCAGTTGTACCCTTGACCTTCTCTCTGATTGCTGACTACAGTTATACTCCCCTTAATGTGAACTAAGTTAATAGGAACAATCCAGCCTACTTTCTGTTTTATGTCCTTCACTGCTCTTGTGGTCTAAATTAGGAAACTTGAATGTGTTTGCAAATTTAGTCCATTGATTCCCTGTTTGCTCTGAGCACAGAGTGGACACCAGGGACTCATCCAGTGATGAGGAAGGGAAGGAGGTGAGCGCTGCTGCATCATCAATGGAGCGCAAGATCCAGTCTGAGCCCCACGGCCACACATCCACACACTCTTACCGAAAATCCCTCCGCCTCTCCTCCAGCCAGATTGTGAGTCTACGCTTTTATTAGAAGACAAATATTTACTCGTGTAAACACTGTGTTGTGTACATAGGCAGCTCCAGCATTTGCTCCATGCTTTTGACTGAAAGATGCAGACTTCTGTGCATCTGCTCTCTCTGCAAAAGTCAGTGATTTGACGCTGTATCTCAAGCTTGCTTCGGTAAATTATGTAAAAGCCGTGTGACTCATTTTGCAAGGGTAGTGTGTGCCTTTGCATTGATTTGCACTAAACTGCCCCCTGTTGGCAGCTCCAAATGGTGTTGCACAATAGAAAATTTTCTTTTACTAATAAAGCTTTGCTGTTTTGCTGCATTTATGACTTTTATAACTAATGAATACTTTGAGGACTGCCTGAATTTCAGAACTTTATTTAAATCTTTTCTAAATCCATGTTATTCAATAATTATATTTTAAGGCTAATTATTTAATTTTTTTGCAATCAATAGGATTGTAAATTGGTTAGTTTTATTTGGTTTATTTATTTATTTTGAACAGAAAATCATACACAAAAAAATTCTTTAAACAAAATTAATTTCAACATGATCGAAATGGAGCAGGATGAAGCGCAAGCTTATATTGTTATTATTTTTATATTATTTTTCCCCACCTCATTACTACACACATTATTTGTTTATTACTTCAACTTATCAATTTCAAGAGTTCACATGTAGATATTACTTGATTATAATAGCAGGTTTGGCATGCTGTCTCTGAAAACACTGAGCTCGGAGATAATTGAGTCCAGGGCTGCCGCCTGTTCAATAAACTTGTAAGGGGGTACAAGATCAGATAGTTCTCGAGAGCTCCCCTTGGTAAAGAAGGAAAGGGTAAGATGGGGTGGATGTTTTTGGTCCCACTTTATATTAAGTGTCCTTAACTACTATGTACTTACATCAAAAAATAAATAAAATGTACTTACTGTGTTTATGATGTATTTGAGAACACTTGTGGTGCTTTTGAGTTGGGATAGAGGTTGGGTTATGGACAGGTTTGGTAGCATGGGTAGGTTTAAGGGTGGGTTAAGGTGTAAGGGATGGTCAACAGTGTATTTACAAATGTAATTACAAAAGTTAATTAGAGATGTAATCACATACATGTATTTGATCAAGCTTAAGTATACACAGTAAATACATGTATTTACACAATAAGTACATTGTAGCAAACTATTAATTCCTGTGTAAGTACATATTAGTTAAGGCCACTTAATATAAAGTGGGACCATGTTTTTTTGTTTTTTTTAAATGAAGATGGAGTTATGCTAGTCGTGCTATTTCTATTCAGTTTGGAATGATCTGATTGGCCTACTAATGATTACAGATAAGACACCAGCTGTGATTAATTATATCACATGCTCCTCTCGAAATTAATTTCTGAAACTTCACTTTATATTAGTTATGCAAATTCCATAATTTGGTAATGCATATAGCTAAGATGAATGTTATGTGCTGTTCAAGTGACGCATCGATAAGGTGATGTTGAATTTACAGGCTAGTTTGAAGCTGAAGGAAGGACCCAATGATGTGATGTTCAGCATCACAACACAATACCAGGGCACATGCCGCTGTGAAGGCACCATCTACCTGTGGAACTGGGATGACAAAGTCATCATCTCTGACATCGATGGAACCATCACCAAGTATGTATTTCACAGACACGCAGCACGTGTTTCCTTTAATGAATAACATTTGCTGGCTTGTGTGCAGAATTCTCTTTTGTTCTTCTCTTTACTAGTTTACTGTAGCCATGAAGAGGGGAAAAAGGCTGAGGTGTGCATAAACATTTCCATTAGTTACTGCCGAAGGACTCACTCACTGCCAGGTTTTTTGTTTTGTTTTGCTGCCAGTACCAAGAGGTTTATAGATCAAGGCAGAGTCTGCTTCATCAAAACAAGTTCTCGAAGTATGTGGCAAATAATGAACCACTAATAATCATCTGTCTTCCCAGCCCCCTCCACTAACGCTTCCAATGACGAAGACAATGCGCCATTTAATGGTCATTGTCTCTCCTAGTTTTACTGGCTGTTTGATAGTTCACAGCTCCAATATTAGTGTGATACCGGTCTGCCGTCTTTGCATTTTAATTACTGCAAAGCCAGCTATAATATATCAATGCATCTATGCAAACGAATGCTCTCCGCCTCCAGACTCGTGCCCTCAGTGGCTGGTGGGTGGCACACACATCAAACAGGCAGATTGACTGCCGCTTATTATTTCTCTGACCCGTTTGCCTGACACATCTCTCTGAGGCTGTAAAGCAGGACGGCTGACTGTGGGGTGCGCCCAGACCGGGGTTGGACTAGGAGGAGGATGTCACCATAATGAGCCAATTTAAATCTTGCTCTCTCATAATGCCACTCAGAAAGAGCCGGAGATAAAACGCTAAAGCCGGGAGAGGATCCTCATTAGTAAACGACACAGAGTTTTACCCAAGCTGAGAAAAAAAAAATCTCTCTCCTTCACAAGTCTATTAGTTCTAAGAATAAAAAGAATGTCAGAAGCTAAATTTAGGAACCCAGCTGAATGAGACTTGGACTTCCTTCTAAGTAGAACAAATGTGCGCTAGAGGATTTTGCTCCTTTCGTTTGCTAGTACATGCCATGTTCACCCTTGTGTTTATGTGCTTTCAGATCAGATGTGTTCGGCCAGATTTTGCCGCAGTTTGGAAAGGACTGGACCCATCAAGGCATTGCTAAACTGTACCACTCGGTGGCTGAGTGAGTTTGCACCTTTTTAATCCTCTACCTCATTGAAAGGGCAAAAGCGAGCTTGATTATAGGTCTTAAAACACTGTATTGAAATGGATGCTTTTGTTTTCAGGAATGGATATAAGTTTCTGTATTGCTCAGCAAGGGCAATTGGCATGGCAGATATGACACGAGGGTATCTGCAGTGGGTAAATGACGGAGGTATAATCCTGCCACGTGGACCACTCATGCTCTCTCCCAGCAGCCTTTTCTCAGCATTTCACAGGTATTATACTAAACTGATAGTGGATAACTCTATACTTAAACAACAAATTATAATAATTTTTTTAGTGTGAAACTTTTAAAGTAGATATTTTGATCATTTGAGCGTTGTTTGATTCCACAGTTCTTTAAAATAGGTTAATTTGAGTTCTGCATAAGAAATTAGTCATACAGAGTTGTGTAAATGATTAAATACTTTTTTCTGGAGTTAACCTATCCTGTTTACAAGTCAAATGAAAAAAATAAACCACTCAGTTGAGTTTATTTACTCTAAATGTTTTCTTTGTCTCAAAGGGAGGTGATTGAAAAGAAGCCAGAAATCTTCAAAATCGAATGCCTTACTGATATCAAGAACCTTTTCCTGCCCAACAAACATCCTTTTTATGCCGCATTTGGGAACCGAACAAATGTAAGTTAAACTTCAGTTAACTTTCTTTTCAGTGCGCACTGACCTCAGCAACACTGTCAAAGGTCAGCTTGAAGATTCATGTCTGAAGCTCAGAACATTAGAAGCACTGTCCCCTCAGGCTACTCACTCAGTCTTGAACTGCATGAACAGCTGCTCCGGACCAGCCTGCTGAACTTTCCCAGCTGAATAAATTACAATGTTTAGGTGGAGTAAGAATGTTTACACAGGCACAAATGCATCCATTTGATCATAAAAACTGTTCTAGTGTCACAAACTAGCATAGAAGGTTATTTTTGTTTGTAGACTTGGCGGAAAGAACAGCAGAGGTTGTCCTGGAGTCTGATCTTGTGAATGTCTCCTCTAGGACGTCTTTGCCTATAAGGAGGTTGGAGTGCCAGTTTGCAGAATCTTTACGGTTAACCCCAAAGGAGAGCTCATACAGGAGCAAACCAAGGGCAACAAGTCCTCGTAAGTGTGCACATTGATCTGCAGGGTTATATAAAAGTAACTCTGAAGTCAACTTAAACTGTCAGAGATTATGCAAATCAAATGTAGAGAGCTCATTCTTGAACTTTGTTCAAGGTCGGCTTGAGAGCTGAAGGACGCCTTTGTTTTGGCTTGGCTGTTTTATGCTCTGTCTCTCTGTTTGTGTGTAGGTACAGCAGATTGAGTGAGCTGGTGGATCATGTCTTTCCTTTGCTGAGTAAAGAGCAAAGTTCTGCTTTCAGTTTCCCGGAATTCAGTACCTTCTGTTTCTGGCGTCAGCCAATCCCGGAGATCCGTCCAGAGGACCTACTTTTATAGACCATCCTGAAGGCCCATCTATTACCTGCTCGCGTCATCTCTGCCTTCAGAAGCACTTAGCCGGTACTTTTCAGCATCTCACATCTATAGTTTTTATTCCCCCACACCACCTGAGAAACATGAACTGCACAAAAACACCTGTAAGAACCAGCGTGAGAGAAAACTCCAAAACACAACCCGGTGTCACATTAATGGGATGCACGCAGAACTTCCACAAATTAAACACCTGGTGCTGCTCTTAAACAAGATTTCTAATCTGTATCATTTTGATTAGCTGCTATGATTTAGGCTGCTTCAGCTCTTGAAGGAATTTCTTGCTAATGGGCTAATGTTTACAGTATTAGTTAGACAGCCAGTGGCCTCTTGGCCAACGGAACGAGTACACAGCTGTTTGTCTGAGTGTGTGTGTGAGGTTAAACGTGGCATAAAGATACGTTTATAATGGAAAGTAATTAACGATATTCTTTACAACCACTAATTTACAACTGTAGATCATAGCTTATTTATATACAAAGGTATTAGTTAGAATTAACTAATTAACATGCACTGCCTCTAAGATGTGGTGACTGTATGACAGTTTGAATATGCATTGCCAGATGGTGCGAAATGAGCTCTGAATCTCGGAGATACTGGAAAGTATGCACAGAATGAGCCGTGCCACGCGAGGACACGCAGCTCATCATTTACAGTTCAACAGATTTAGCTCATACAGTCGACTAGATTCACATGAAAAGTACACAGAGGAGTTCATTGTAATTGGGCTTTTCTTTATTTCCAACTGTTGACATTTTCATCGTCTGGTTGCTGCAGAACGCCTTAGCGATCGCACTTTTTCAGCTGGAGCCTAGAGAAGAGAAATATCAGATAGTCTTGCACTCAACTCGTGACGGAAATGCAATAACGTTCAAAGCTTTTCTGCAGGCTTATGTGCACAGTGCAAGGATTTAAGTGCTTTTAGATCCTTCATGTAAACCTCAGCAAGAGGTCTGTATTAACTTAATAATATATTTGCTTTCTAAATGAAGGTATGTTGTATGTTGAGCTGGCCTGAGGCCTGTGGGAGAGTAGCAGTAACAAATGCTCTTGAACATTTTTGTTTGTTTGTTTTTCCACTTACCAGGCCTTTGCATGCTTCGTTTGGAATATAAAGATGACCGTTTATGTTTTGACGCTTTCTTTTTCGGGTAGACATTCCGAAGGGTCGTCACGTTGTACATTTTCAATATTAGTGGATGATCTTGAGCAGTAGAAACTAATTATTTGAAAACATTGAAGCTGATGTGCAAGTGAATGATGAGAGTGATCTGATCTTTCCACTTGGTCACGGTTGACTGAAGTAACATGCCCTTTTTTCCGTCTAGTTTGTCATTAAGGTCTCGGCTTGTACCTTTAGGCTTTGGTAGCGTTAGGATAAGTTTTAGGGCACTGTGTGCTGGATGTTTAAATAGATGTACAGAATTAGAGCACAACAAATTATTTCTTTAAGGCAAATCATTAGGGAATATCGGGGCATTTCATGGTTCAGTTGTGATTGTGATTTTGTATATGTGTGTTGCGCTTCTTGTCTGCAGTTATGATGTTTGGAAGTGAAATCTGTTAATTGTTAACAAAGGAATCCCATTCTTTCTATGAAAGTAATACCTCTTGTGTGGGATGAACACACTCATCTTGTATGAAACTAACAATTGTAAAAAGACACAGAAAAAAAATGTTATGAAAAAAAGCCTCTTCTTTCTTTTGTTGTAAGTGCTGAATGTGTTTTGTCATTCTTCTTGATCTTCGATGCCTTTTGTTTTACTTGCTTTTATTTCTAGTTGTGTGTACTTGAGTGAGATGGTGCGTGTTTTGGGTTCGCTCTATAGGTTTGCATTGAGTTTGACCAGCTTATATACAGTACCTTGAAATGGATAATTGTATTATAAATTTACAAAAACTATGGTTTGGATGATGTTTATGAATCTATTAAAGATGTATTTAATACAGCTGTGTGGACCCTTTGTAGTTGTGTGGACCCTTTGTAGCACATGTGCTAGTATAATTTGTCACGATGAATGAAGCTTTAATTGTTTTGCTTTAGGAAAAAAGTCTTCAGGGTGTTTTATCGTGCAGCTTTAAAACTTGGCACAACAGTCTGGTTTGTAGGGGAAAATTAGTTTTTATTGGTTTTACTTTTCCAAGCCAAAAGTGCATTTTAAAATGCACTAAAGTCATTTTACAGTGGATTACAGCTGTGCTGGTTTTTGATCATCTTTTGCATAATCCACCAAATATTATATACACAAGCCCTAAAAATCAAGCTATTTATTTTTTTATACATAAACAAATTGCATTCAAAACAAGTGAAGTGAACGTATGCATTTGTTAATTTAATAATAATGAAAAAATTATATATATATATATATATATATATATATATATATATATATATATATATATATATATATTATAAAAACAGTAATTTTAAAAACTATATAGATTGGATCAAATATAGGATTACCACTACATTCCACCTGTAAAATTCTGATAAATAAACAAACAAATCTCTGTTCAAAAGTCTTGAAAGGGTCGTTTACCGAAAAATGAAAATGTAGTCCTCATTTATTTACCATAGTATTGTTCTGAAACCTAATACCCTTTAATCATTTGTGAGCAGATCAAAAGAATTCTCACATACTGCTCACATTCATCCATATAATAACACCTTAAGGCCCAATCCTAATTCTTTTTTTTTTACCCCTTTCCCTACCTTTGCCCTTGGCCTTTGAATAGGAGTGTGAAGGGGAAGGGCTTCAAATGGGACAGCACTACAACACCAGCACAAATCATCATATGTCGACACTAGCTCTTCATATGAGATCAACAAGAGACTGCTTTAATTGTTCCAATTGTTTGTTTTTTTGTTAATTATCTTCAGGAAATCATAGAAGGCAACAATATCATGTGGTCATGATATAATGTGGCAATAAGATCGTAACTGTGAAAAAGATTGTGTACTGTGCATTTACACCATGGCCATATTCATCTATAAACACAAAAACAACATTAACATTATAGCAGAATGTTAAAACGCTCATTCCCAGCCACTAGATTTTCTGACAGGGTATTTGAGTGTCACGTGTAAGTATGTTGTGGGACTGCTATACAGGAGTTATTATTATGGATTATAGTGAAATGTTTTTTATTTTTTTCGTTTTCTTTTTTAAAAGCATGATTGTAAAACACGAACGCTTTTATGAATGGTTTCGAGAGTGGTCCTGGAAAATCTCCATTTCAAGGGCTATCTAGCTCTACTTCTTCAAGCTAAAAAGTATTGGGACACGCACACGCCTACCTCTTTTTGTGAAAGTGCAAAACGAGGTGTTGGGGTAAGGGAAACGGATAAGGAGTAGAATTAGGATTGGGCCCAAAACAACACCAGGATACATTTCCATCCCAAGCTATTTCAAACCCTGAATAAAAAATAAGGTATTTGTGACCATTTTATCTCAAAATACAATTGTTTCCCCTCACAACTGAGTTTATAGCACACAATTCTTGCTTTATAACTTGCAACTGTTAAAAATATAAAGGTATAGACTTGCAGTTTCACTCTGAGTTTCTTAGAATTACAAATCTATATCTTACGATTCATTCATTCATTCATTTTCTTTTTGGCCTAGTTCCTTTATTAATATAGAGTAGTAACAGCAGAATTAACCGTCAACTTATCCAGGATATGTTTCACGCAGCGGATGCCCTTCCAGCTGCAACTCCTCACTGGAAAACTCTCATTCACACACGTACACTATGGACGATTTAGCTTACCCAATTCACTTATAGCACATGTTTTTGGACTGTGAGGAAAACCTGAGCACCCTAAGGAAAACAACACGAACACGGAGAAAACATGCAAACTCCACACAGAAATACCAACTGTCACAGGCGAAGCTCGAACCAGTGACTTTCTTGCAGTGAGACTACCCACTGCTACCCACTGCACCACCCTATCTTACGATTGAGATTTTATAACAGCAAGAGTTACGAGTATAAAAGGTCAAAAGTGTGAGCTAAAAAATAGCAAATAACTTCTTTTCTATTCTCTTTTCTTTGTTTATGTTGTGCTGCTTGACACAATCTACATTGTAAAAGCACTATATAAATAAAAAATATTTGAATTAAATTCACTGGCAGAATCAAGCTTCTATACCAGAGTGAATAAACAATGACTTAATATCATTTTTTTTGTGGCTTATCCCTTGAATAACGTGTTATTTTGCAAATGAGTGAGTGAAATCCAGCCATTTCAGTTGGAATCCAGAATCTGAAATTTCACTGAACAGCAGAAATTTCCCTTTGCGTAATTCATAACCTCATCAAACATTGTGCTGGAAGTTTAGTAAAATGGCCACTCCTTTACTTGTGAGGCAGCATGGTGAATGGTTAGACTTTCGTTAAAAGTCACATCGGTCACCCTCTCCGCAGTGACAGGGTTATCTCTTCGCTTGAGGCGAGTAGAGGAATATAGCGCTGAAGGTGGAGAGGATCTCTCTTGATTCGGAGACCGCCAGCTTACCAGCAGTGCGGACCAAGGCCATGGTGTCACCTCTGTGGAGCGGGAGGATGAGGCTGAAAGACGCTGACCCTCCACATGCACACTGATCTTGGGTCAGTCGCAGGTGTCCACTCGAGTAACCCGCCGTGTCCAACTTCTGCACGCTGCGATTGGATACTGAGAGCACAGCTTCTGCATGCTCACCCCGCTGGGCGGATAAAACAGCCGTCACCAGATAACGGCCGTCAGTGGGCACCGTAAAGATCCCTGCCGGAGAGGAAGAGCCACATGAGTGCGGTTTATCTCTTAGACTGGCTTCAGGAAATGGAGACTTTGCACTTACCTGTCTGAGGGTTATAGTGTCCTCCATCGTTGACCAGCACTCTGTCAAAGGCAATGATGCCGAAGTCCCCAGAGAAAGTCTGACGTGTGAGACCAGCAGAGAAAGAAAATGGGTCCATCACCGAGTTCTGCTGTGACACTGTTGTGGAGAAGAGACTTCTGTGAATATTGCATGCTTGAGATTTTTCTAATCTTCTTTCATTTTCCTTCGGCTTAGTCCCTTTATTTATCAGGGATCACCACAGTGGAGTGCACCGCCAACTTATCCAGTATACGTTTACACAGCGGATGCCCTTCCAGGCGCAACCCAGTACTGGAAACGTCCATACACACTCTTTCACACAAATTTAGTTTATTCAATTTACATATAACATGTGTCTTTGGACTGTGCGAGAAACCGGAGCACACAGAGGAAACCCATGCCAACACAGGAAGAACATGCAAACTCCACACAGATATGCCAACTGAACTAGCCAGGACTCAAACTAGCAACATTTTTTCTGTAAGACAACCACTGAGCCACTGCATCGCCTTAGTTTTCTAATCTTGACAAGCGTATTTTGATCACCTTATCAAAATAAATTTGCCACACCTATTCCCAATATGGGATTTTTAAATAAAAACATTCTTCCTGTGGTCATGAAACTGCAGTTTTCCATGTTTTCATATAACTGCTGAGCCTTATTTTCCAAAAAGCATAACATGTCTTCAGAACATAACAACTGTGTTACTTTGTGTGTATATATATATATATATATATATATATATATATATATATATATATATATATATATATATATATATATATATATATATATATATATTTCATATTTGAATCCCCACATAATGAACTTTCCATTTAGGCAAAGTAGTTTGAAGACACCTACGCTAAGACCAGTTTTCTTGACGGCATGTGTTTGATGCACATCACTTCTCTCAGTGAAGGTTACACGGTTCCACTTTAATGTGTTATTTTGCACCTACTAATAAATTTACCAGGCAGTGCAAAGAAAATTACACTTGGCAACAATTACAATTTGCACTTGGCAAGTGTTAAATGACAAACTATGCCTGGAATATTTTAAAATCCCTTTTGGCCTTTGAGTGGTGTAATATAATTCGATTGTTTTGATTTGTTATGGGTTTTATTGTATTATATGTTGTGGTGACTTGTTACCTGGAGCAGCAATGGGTCTTTGATGCGCAGGACTCCATGGGACATTGACAGCTGTAATGAGAGGTAATAGTCAAAATAATGTAAATTGTAATCGGAGTATGTAAATTTCATATAGTTCTCACATAAATGACAAAATTGTAAAATAAAAACATCAATAAGTATAGTTTTTTTTCACTGACATGGTTATCACCAGGACTTTTATAAATTTGAGTCTTTAAATGATGTTGTTTTATATAATGTTTAAATCATTTGGCCTGCAGTGCTGAAAAACCAAACACTGTGGGGAAAAAACAAGCCAAACCATAGTAAAAATGTGCCAAAATGTTTAAAAAGTAGTTAAAACCCTTTTGAATGCTTGGCAGCAAAATATTATTAAGAAAAACTAATTATCTTCATAGATTTTTGTTTAAATGCCAGAGGCCTGAAATGTTCTATTCAATGTGTCAATAGGGACAATTTTGTCTTATAAACATAATGCCGAGTTTAAAGCCTCGAAATTCGCCAACAGGTTTTGAGAAATTGCCAACAAACGCCTAAACTATCAAAGACGCAATCTGAGAGAATCACTGATGAGTCGCAGACAACCGTGAGATATTTGGCATGCTTAATATCCGGACCTGTCGGCATTTCAAAATCATGCCAAGTGAAATTTGTTCTGATTGAAAATAGCATCAACGATTACCTACAGCCAATGAGAGAGCAGCATTCAGGCCATCCAGGAAGTTGGGGGAGGAGTTACAAAAATATAGATCACAATATCAACAAGCATGGCTTCGGTTGACAAAATGGCTTCTTTTAGGTCTATTTGGACCCAAGAAATGGAGGAAAAACTAGTGTAAATTAGGCAGGAGCACCTGTGGATGTTTGCGCAATACCACAACCGGGTTGAAAGAGACAAAAAGTTGGAAAGAAATTGCTAATTTCCCTCAAAAGCCAGGTTTCTACCCACTAACAGCTTCTTTCTCATTATGTAGTTCATAACAAAATATTTACTACATGCCCTCACATTGTTTTCATGTGACTTCTAGCGTGTGTTTGACTGTGAGATGTAGTTTGTGGACTGAGATTCTTCCTATTGTAATGTCATGCAGTGTGAAACACCCTGTGGCAGATCCATCTTGCAGTGTGAACACAGCAGTGATGGAATGTTACCCCAGATAGTCATGCATTGCAAAAACATCTGTAATGCGACTACTTTGAAAATCGTGCAGTCTGAACTCTGCATGAGAATACAAAGATTTAACAATCCATCCGAAGTATGCCAACACTGAAAATCAACGAAAAATCTACCTGCTGGAGGAGGCTGTTTGGTATCATATGAGACAGGGTTGACAGGAGGATAACCTATAAAGGAAAATAAAGACCCTTAAATCGTTTCAAGCATGAGCTTCCAAATTATATTCCATCGTCTCATCGTCTTTTGCTTTATACCTGGAGCTCCTGCAAATCCTGTAACAGGTGTTTTGGTGTCCTCTGAGCTCTGATCCCGTCTGACCGTGACCCTGCGCACATACCCAGGTGGACCAGCCTGTCCGGTGACCACCACAGGCTCGTGGATGACTGGTTGCTGGGGTTGTATGTGGTAGATGGGACGTCTTGGGTTACTGGGTGGCTGAGGGTAGTAGGGTCGGTGTGGGACGTGCGGCTGCTGGCGCACATGGGGATGGCCGGTGGGTGCTGGCACTGTCCTGTGGGGTATGATCAATGGTATGTTGATATGAGGAGCATATGGTCTCATGGGTTTTGTTGGAGCTCTAGTGTCAGGGACAGACACTGGTTTCTCTTGCCGAACAGGCAGTCCTGTAAGAGAAAATAAGATGGAGATTTATTTAACATAATACACCCAAATGGACCAATGACACAATTAAAGGTGCCCTATAATGACAATCTGGGTATACCAAGGTAAAGTAGAAGAGATCAGAATATGGAAATGATTTCTGTGTGGAGTTTGCATGTTCTCCCCAGTAAAACCCCAGTGGACAACGAGACAATCAGAAGACCAACAAACTGTGATGAGACTCACGGGCCATGCCCTCCGCATTTGCATGTACGACTACTTTTAGGTTGTTCATTCAGACCTGACTTCATCTCATCTGGCTCTGAGATCATCAATATGCTCGCCTCAGGTTGTGTTTGATAAGCAACAACATTTTCTAGTGAGAAAACTATAATAGTTTCCCTCCATTAGTTATTTTAAAGCTTGTATTTACCTTACTAAATATGTGGGACTTCTATTTTCAAAACGCAACCACAGATTGTTTACTATGCGTTGCTGGGTAACAACATGTGCTTCAGAATGCAAAATGCAAAATTTACAGATTATACATTTACTCAGCTCTACTTTGAAGAGGCATAAGGTACAGTTGAAACCAGAAGTTTACATAAATTCTATGAGAAGGAACATAACCTTTTTTTTTTTTTAAATGTCTGATGGTATATCATACTAAACGTTTACTATTTTAGGTTCGTTAGGATTACCTAAATGATTTACATTTGCTAAATGCCGGAATAATGAGAGAATTTTTTTTATTATTATTAATATCTAGACCAGGGGTGGCCAACCCTGTTCCTGGAGAGCCACCTTCCTGGAGATTTCAGTTGCTACCCATATCGAACACACCTGAACCAATTAATTAGGACCTGAACACCACATGATAATGACAGGCAGGTGTGTTTGATATGGGTTGCAACTGAAATCTGCAGGAAGGTGGCTCTCAAGGAACAGGGTTGGCCACCCCTGATCTAGACAGTAAAAAGTTTACATACATTTCTTTGGTATTTCTTTACACTGTAAAAAAAAAAAGTTGAGTAAACTTAAAATAATTAGGCAACCTATCACACATAGCTTTTTGAGTTAACTCAACAAACAGGGTTTGAAGACCAGTGAACTCAAAATATTTTGTTGAATTCTTTAGTTCTCTGAACAAAAAGTATCATGTTCACCCAACAAGACATTTTTGTTTGCTGAACAAAAAATATCATGTTCATTCAACAAGACATTTTTGTTTGCTGTACAAAAAATATCATGTTAACCCAACAAGACATTTTTGTTTGCTGAACAAAAAATATCATGTTCAACCAACAGGATATTTTTGTTTGCTGAACAAAAAATATCATGTTCAACCAACAGGATATTTTTGTTTGCTGAACAAAAAATATCATGTTCAACCAACAGGATATTTTTGTTTGCTGAACAAAAAATATCATGTTCAACCAACAGGATATTTTGTTTGCTGAACAAAAAATGTCATGTTCACCCAACAAGATATTTTTGTTTGCTGAACAAATATTATCATGTTTACTCAACAAGATCTTTTGTTTGCTGAACAAAAATTTTCACGTTTATTCAACAAGATCTTTTGTTTACTGAACAAAAATGATTATGTTTACCCAACAAGATTTTTTTAGTTTACTGAACAAAATAAAACAAACTGATTCATTATGCATTTACTATTAATTTTTAGGATTCAAATTAAATACACAAGAATAGTCAATTCACTTTTTTTTATTTTTAACTGTGTTCAAATCACAATCCAAAACATTTGCATACAAAATCAGCATTTGACATTAGCCGTGTTCAGCATTGGGCTAGTTTGTACACAACTAGTACTGAATGTTTCCAGATTTGAAAAGATTGTACACTGCCTCAACATAAAATAACTGGCAACCTTACTAAAACCAAGCTATTAGTGTGTCTAAACACTCAAACCAGGTGAATATACAATCATCTAATCAGAGTAAACCCTAAAAGCCACTCCATTCATACAGTCTTTAAAGTGTACTGCACTTTTGTCAACAAAGTACATAAAGTCCAAAAACAGACCTCAAAACATTGAAACAGTGGCACATTAGGAAGTGGTCACGGGTCAGTTGCCGTTACTGTGTGGAGTTTGAATGTTCTCCCTGCGTTCACGTGGGTTTCCTTTGGGTTCTCCGGTTTCCCCCACAGTCCAAAGACGTGTGGCACAGGTGAATTGGGTAGGCTAAAATTGTCCGTAGTGTATGTGTGAATGAGTGTGTATGGATGTTTTCCAGAGATGGGTTGCAGCCGGAAGGGCATACGCTGCCTAAAACAAGTTCATTGCGCTGTGAAGACCCCAGATTAATAATGGGACTAAGCCGAAAAGAAAATGAATGAATGAATGAACTGAACTCTCGCAGATCATGTGCCACCAACCTCCATAAAACATGCTGAATCACTTAAAAAGTATATTTGAGTTCTTTTGGGTGTTCCATATTCAGTCTATACAAGAGGCTGAACAAGTAAGCGAAGGCTGCAGGCAGATGTGTGATATCCTGAAGTACTATGGCCTCCTCCAAGATTTTAGCGAGGTTCATCACATATTGCAGGGATGCAGAAGTGCCATTATCATCTTCCACCACAGTGAAGATTCCAATCCTTTAATCTCTGGTGCTGTGGTCTTCAGGGTCCGTGTCCTTATAGGAGATTAAGTAATGGGAAAATTAATTGATGTGTAATATTAATTACTACTTATTAATGTTATTACTATTATGCAAAGAAAATAAAAACATGTAATACTTTCGTACATACAAACAGTAACACTTTGAATAGTCTATAATATATAATAATTGAACAATATATTGACAACTTTTTAATATTTAGCAATTTTTTAAACTTTTATTTTACATAAAATTGCAAAGATTTACTTTTATTTGATACAGTTTCAATTGTGAAAGTTGTTTATTGTCCTGTTTAGAATATAACTGAGCCTTTAATTGTCATTCATAAGGGATTTATAAAGCATAAATAGTCCTCACTTTAGATTAGGTCACAACTGGATGAAGTTAAGCTCATAAAGCATATACTAACATACAAAGTAACTATTATTACATACCTTAATATTAGGATATTTAAATGTTAATTTGAATAGTTTATTAATCGTGTACTTAAGCATTCTGAATGATCTTAAAAACACCAACTATTCTTAAATAACTGGTTTGTAAATAATGCAATACTTAAATTAGTAATACAAATGAATCATTAAAGTCAAAAAAAATACAATCATTGAGCACTTCATGTAGAGTTATGCTTAACAGAAAATAAATTAACTATTCGCTAATACTAAATAAATTATTTATAGCGTGCAGCTATTGAAAGTGTTACCAAGCAGACTAATAAATGTAGAATAGGGTATGAAAATGGGTAACTTACCAGACATATCTTGAGAAAGCAAGCAGAATTTTTACGAAGAAAAATTGGCAATCCCTCAAGAGCTGCTCTTTCTCGATCGGTGACAATATCAGTGACCTAAAGGAAAGTCATTTACAAAGGGTGTTTTACAATCTTATTGTTTTGTAAGTAAAAATGTACTTAGTACATTTAAATGAGCATAGTATTTTATTCATGCTGTTGAAAAAACACATGGCTTTATTTTTAAAAAAGAATTTTGTGGTTTCCATACAATGGAATTTGATAATGGTTGTGTTGGCAAATTTAGAAAAATGTTTAGTTTCATGTGACAATTACTTTGAGTTAAAAACTACAGCTATTATTTTCTATTTTCCTCTTTGAATGTATTCATTTGAAATGGTCACTCAAAACAAGTGAAACATCTGTTATTTATCTTACTTCCATCTCACAATCAAAACACAACTTGACACAATTAAAATGAATGCAAAAGGGCTGGACAATTAAATTGTTGCAATTACGTTTTATTAGACTGTATTACCTGAGCATGAAATTCTTGACAGGACAAAATATGTTGCACATGTTAAAAACATCAGACGGGTGTATAAGAAAAAAAAAAATCTTAATGAGTACCTGCTCATCCATCTTGTTTAAAGTTGTATCCATCTCTGGACCCATTGAATCCCTTCTTTTCTGTAGAGTTTCAGGAGAGGTGCTGTATATTTATCAAGTCACTCGATTAACTGTCTCAGGAGATCTACATTACAGATCTGAGAAAACTCTGTGCAGATCTACAATATTCAAAAAAAACATACATATTAATTTTTACACATAATATATATATATATATATATATATATATATATATATATATATATATATATATATATATATATATATGTAAATGTAAATATTTAAATGTTCAAATGCTGAATACAGATGTATTTTGAATTACCTATAATAATAATGTTGTTTGTTATTTTTAGCATTATCATTACTACCTTGAATGAAACCAAAGCAATTGCAATAAAGTGACTTACCTCTTCCTTAAAGTCCAGGTTATCTCTCTCTAATTTCTTCCTGGCTAAATCTCAACAACTTCTTTTGGGCAAAGAGAAAAGGTTTCTTGCATCTGCTGGTGAATGACCGTCAAATTTCACTGATGATAACAAGTCTCACCTCCTCAAGGAAATCTTGCATTGAATTATGTCATTGTCAATATTTCAGTCCTTTTGAGCAAAAAGAAAGAAAAATATATATTTAGCCCTTTATATTTTTTATGTAAATAAAAGCTAGCTGACTGTTAAAGCAAGTTGGTCTGAATATGATAGACATTTAGTCGAGCTAACAAATCAAGCAATGAATTACATGAAAATCACACGATTTTCACACAAATTACACAGTTAAACACGTCACCGTTTGTTCCACTGGCTCTGGTTCGAAGGGAAAAAAGGTTATGATGTGCGCAATGCTGACAGCAATCTAGATAAACAGGACATAATGTTATATTTGACTTGGATACCTGATCTGGTATGTTATATGATACTCATTGTATTAATCGTGAGTTATTAAAGCAAATGACTCGATTGAAATCGCTATTTGTTTCAAATACATTCACTCTAAACTTTTATTGATGTAAATAGCCAAAACC